GACCGAGATCCTGCCAACTCTTGCTTCACAATTCCAACCAGCAGAGTCTGCGCATTGCAACACACCCGGATTACCCAAGGAAGCCAACAGCTAAGTAGTCTTTAAGTGCAAGCAAAGGTGGAAAAAGTGTTGTCTTGCTTTGGAGGTTTCAGGGCAGCTAGCAAAATGATCTTTGCAAACTCAAAATGCTTCACCCGAGGAGTGTCAGTAGCAGGTACATGGTGCCACTCAACAGTGAGACATTGCAGGGACGTTTTCCTTTCAGACGGTGATGGGGCTGCAAAAGCTTCTCTCCTACTCGTTTATGTCGCGCTCCTGCCAAGAGGAGTCAACATCTCCAGTCCAAACGCTGGCTCCGAGTCGCGCGAGACCTGGAGTGAAGGCACCTTGGGATGCATAGTTGTGACAAGTTGTGCTCTGCAATGCTCTGCATGTAAGTACTTGCTCTTACTTGCGCAGAGAGGGTCGTTGAGGGCAGCACGATTCAAAGAGAAGAAGCGTTGCCCAGGATGGATCTCTTCCAGCAGCTCTTTTTCTGCCGTGTTCCATTCATGGTACGTGTAGTAGGAGTTTTCCCCCTCCTGTGCATGGCAATGAGATTCAATGTGGGCACTGCGTCGCGTCACATGATGCCATTTGGTACCCCAGTAGAACAGGGCAATCGGTCGCAATCTTACGACTCTGACAAGAATCATCATTCCACCAGTAGGCAACGCCTGCATTCAAATAATGCCTTGGAGAGTCCATGGTTACCGACTTGACAAGCTGTAGAAAGCAGAGATGAAATGTACAGATGCGCTGCAGCTTGAGGCCAGAAGCCGCAGCTGTGTCTTGTACCAGTTGCGCATGTCGGGATCCGAAAACAACAGCCAACGACCGTGAGCATAACTTTCTGGACCGCCTTAGCTTCCTTGCTTGGGCATCACATGTGGCCAAACAAGTCCATCGGTTGGTCACTCATGTTGCTCGGGCAGATTGTGATGGATTGCGTAAGCACTTCAGCCCAGCAGCCGTGGGCAGTCTCAATGCACAACTGCTATGAAGCAACTCTCTATCATGTTGTGCTCTCCCATCACGAGAAATACTCTGCGTAAGTAGCGTAAGTAGCCCCAACAGCCCCAACAGCCCCAACAGCCCCAACAGCCCCAACGAGTAATTACGACTCGCCTTGTGGCAGGAGCCACTGGCGGGCGCGCATCTTCTTCAACATCTCCTCAAGAACTCAAGCAAAAGCGAGGGCGAACTGACATTACCAAGGGCAAGAAGAAGGGACTCCCCTCCGCCAGTCTTGCTTTCATGAAGCACCGCTAAACCAATTCTGGAGCACTCTTCTGTTCATGGAACCCCCGTGTTGACGCGACAGAGATTCCGATGGGTTTTTGTAGTTTATCAGTAAACCAGTTTGAACATGATGTTCTACTGCTGGCTAGCAGCAATGCTCCAAGAACTCCGACACTTCGACCCTTCAAGGCAAGAGCAAAGCGTACCAACTTAAAAGTAGCTCAAAACGTAAGACCTGTAATGTCGACACTTTGCACTGGGTTTGTCGAAAAGCTCCTGATTGCCCAAGCGAGGCTTGCGGATGCCAGCTACACGTACATGAAACTCCTCAGGGCAAGAGACACTCAGCACCGTCCAGCAAACGCCGCATCACACGCAAGACCAAGATAGAAATCATCGGCCCTGCATGTGCATCCCCTGCACAGCTCCCAGAGAAGGAACCTTGCACATCCCAAAAAACCCAAGCCAAGATTTCTGAGAGTCCGATCTGTAGTTTTCGAGTTGATCAGCAGGAGATGGAAATAGCGCTGGATTCCAGCCGAAGTCGTTGTACCAGGGCTGGCCCGCTGGCTCAAAGTCATAGTCCGACGTGTTGGCAAACCACTCAAAGTCTAATATTATGGAATCCTCAGAGCTGCCGTTGCAACATGCAATGCAACATGCAACATCTCGCACAAGGCTCCGTCATGCTGTTGGCCGGCATCTTAGGGAATTCATTTTTCTCTTACCGTTATGACATCGTGATGCCAGGCGGCAATTGGAAAGCCGCCTGCACGAAACGCTTTTAGGGTGTCCTCGATGTATTCCGCATCCTCCCAACCCCATCGAGAAGCCAGGAAACCGAACGTATGCCTGTGGATGAACGTGCGTGTAAAGCGGCAAGCGTTGTGAGAGCGCTATAGGGCGGCTTGGAGGAACAACAAAACTAAACAGCTGCAAAGCAACCGCCACAAATCAAATGGTAATACTCTAGCGAGCTAAAAAGCGAGCATGTCCCTTCTGCAGCTTAAAGACATTGGAGGGACTGGTGGTCGACCTGTCAGTGATAGGTATTGTCGGGTTCCTCCGCCAGTGCCGCAGGCATCAGCTTCCGAAGATGATCAAGCATGTCAACTCAGTGTCAACAGCAGAGCCGGTCCTTCAAGCAACGAGGGAGCCGGCATGAGGTAAATCTGAAAGCCTCCAGAAAAAACCCATGCTATCTGATCGCCAGTGGTATGGTACCTGCAGCAGGAACACGGCGCAACACCAGCTATGCGGTTTCATACAATCGATGCTTCTGCCCGGCAGCACCTGACCATCAAGCGATCAAAGTGAGCAATAGTTGTATGGCCCAGGGCTGCGTAGCCATCCGAGGAATAATAATAAGGTACGTGTGTTGCCCGGTTTGCCTTGGTAGTCCACTTCTAGTATACCAGAACTGTGACGGGCTGGCACCCTGCTGGTCTCTTGGGCATTCCGCTGCACTTTGCAGTTTGTTTGATTGTTTGATTTCTCCGACTCAGCCTGGATACAACCTGACCAGTGGCTCCGCGACGCAGCAGCGAGGTGGCATCGTCTGGGCCCGCTCCGCCACCAAATACAGATTCTGAAGTGGAGGTGAAGGCAAGGAGCCCTGGAAACCTGAAAGCTGCAAAAAGCCATCACCAAGCATAGTAAGCATAGTGCTATGCAAGTGCCATGCCAGTGCTATGCCTGCTGACAAATGCTGCCGTGTTGCCTGCCCCACACGGTACCAGGAGCCGCCTCCCAGCCTGGCTCCGCACGAGACATGCGTTAAATGCAAATGGAGTGCTCCCAAGGTTCATGTTGGGACTGCCGTGTACCAACTCCGCAAGCGGCCAGACGGAGCAAAACGGTATTGCAGCAAGCTGCAACTCGGGGAATCCGACCTATTTTTATCTAGGAGCCCTAGGTCCACAGGCACTGGCAGCCTTGCACTTGCTATCACGTACTCCACCTCTGCTGAAGCTGCTCACGAAAAGTGACACTTCACGAGCACAGGCCTGATGCCTCTCTCACCAGAAGACCTCGGCGTAAAAGCTCATCGCAGTAAGGTGGGCATCAAGTGCGCGCTGCGGCACGCGTTCTTTGCAAGACACGTGGCGATCTCGCTTCTGGACTCTGAACTTGAGACGAGTCAGGAAAGTCCAAGACGCACATCCTGCAACTTAGCCGGGTGCATTTCGCACCGTCAAAAGCCCAGTCGGTGCAGTTGGACTGGGACTGGCAGGCGTGGCAGCAGGCTCCTCTGACATGTGGGTAGTGAGATTCCGACGCTTGCCTGTGCTTAGTGACTGTTTATGCCAGTTTATGCCTTCAAGCAACCATTGCAAGAAGAAACTGGACGGTCAGCTAGTGCGCGCCTGCACTTTCTGTAGGCATCTCCGCAATCTGCTCACCACCCTGATTGCTGAACATCCAGTTTGCAACCGATAAAGGACTCCGTGCAAAGAGCTTGCGAGATTCCCACTCTGGCGGAAAGTACGAGCTGAGTCGAAGAGAACCCCAGGTCGCTCTTGGAACTGAAACCGAAAAGACAAAAAAACTCACGAATAGCGCTCTCTCGCTCTGTGTTCATTTCAGAACGTTATGTAACCTATTAGTTTTGTGACTTATGGGTGTTCCCGGCTTGCCTGGCCTGTGGGCGACCACCGACTGCCGCGCAACTGAGCCGACCCAACGGCTGTGATTCAGTGATTATGGCGCCGTCGGGGCTGCGGAGGCGTAGGGCGCCTGCAAGGCGGTTGAAAACAGGAACAGACAACTCCAGCACATACTTGCTCCTGTAATCTCTTGTAGGGAGTGTGAAGCATGTGCGATTGGGTGCAGAGGCGGCCTTCATTGCTCACGGCAACGGAGCCAAGGCCAGGTACGTCAATGCCCTCGTCAGTTCATCTGCTTAGCATACAGTAAGGCTTACAGCTTGTCAAGGGCAGAAACAGAGGATCTAGCATGGCGGTACTTGCTGATGCAGCCTGCTCCTCTGACAGCCTCCTTGAAGAGAAAGGAATGTCAGGCTCTTCCGGCTGAACCTTTCAATGGCAGCCGAGGCTGTTGGATGCAAAGGCATCGCAAAGGACTGGAGGTGCTGGCCTCCCACTTCTCTTCAGGACCGCCTTCGCTGTCAAGGAAACGCACGCGAAATGCGGAGGCACCTCGCGTAGAAAGTCCAAGACGTCCGCCTGACATGCGGAGGCATGTGATGATTGTGCGGTGCCGTGCATTGAGTGCTCATAGTGCTCCACATGATCCAGCATGCATCTTTCATCCCCAATGCCCAGGCCGCACTGAGGCTCTGGCCCAGTGGAAGTTGTACAATTTGCTCTTGACGAGCACCCTCCGCGGCCACAGCCTCTCTGGAGATGCTGAAAGCCTTAGCAGCATTCGACAGAAACAGATTGCAAAAGAGGCACTCTGTTGACCTTCATTGCTGCCTGGCGGCAGAGGCAATGACAATTTCAATGAAGGCAAGTCGAGATGTCATGTCTGCTGCTTGCAGAATGCATTCAAACAGGTTTCTGTGACCACAAAGAGACCAAGGAGAGCGGAATCGCGATAGGGTGTTCGCTTCGCAGATTCTTGAGCAGACAGTGCCAGGCACAGAACAGGGAGCATGACAACGTGCTTTCATCTCGTGACGTCTCGTGCATCAAGTGCATCAAGTCTTTCATGAATTGGCGACCGAATCTCGCTGACACACTTGCCACTGTTCTAGCCTGACCATTTGGAGATGTGCCAGAGCCAACACCTGGCTGCTGTCTGCAATGCAACGATCCATACACATCGAAGGGGGAGAGCTTCGACTGGTCACCAAGCTCGCAGCACACAGTCGGAACATGTCGGCATGTATGAATGTGGCAAGCAACGACGGACTTTCACCTGCAGATGGCTCTGCAATATTTTGAAGAGGCCCGCCCTTGTGCATGACATGACTGGATAACACCGAGCTGCACTGGCAGGTTTCCTCTTAGGGTAGTTTCATGGTCCCTTAATATGGGCCCTACTTGGTGAACCCGCAATACCCCTTATACACCCTAGAAAACCGAAAGGCCCATACATCAGAACACTTCAAAAAAAGTAAGGGACCATACTCAGGGAACCATGTACCTTCCCTTAGATTCCCAGCGCTGACCAATGGTTCCAGCCATGAAGCAAAAGGCCCCCGTGAGATGCCACTCAGCTCAGCAAGGCGAGCAGTCATCCGAGTACATCAGGGCAAAGGCACACCAGCCTTCTTCAAGTCCTCCAACGTGCTCCCTCACTAGCTATTCTGAGGTGCAGAAGTGTCATGGGAACGTCTTTAAACCCGTACTTGCGAATACTACAAACTACAGCATTTCCCCTGCATTTTGAAATCAGTAATACCCTGCATTTTGAAATCAGTACAAGTAATACCAATCCACGATTACTTCTACATCTTAGGGCAGGCACGGGATTAAAGGGTTTTGCTACTTGCGAGGGCGTTGCAAGTCTACTGGTAATCGTCATAGAAACGACAATGATAGTGGCAGTGAGTGTGACACTAATAAGTAGTGGCGAATATTATAGGAATTGTCCTGATCAGAATAATTGTCATATCGAAGGTAAAGGGGTAGTAGCAAAAGCAAAAGCGAAAGCAAAGTAAAAGCAAAAGCAATAGAAAAGGCAATGGCAACTGCGATAGCAATGCCATAACAGTAATATTACAACTCGCATCGGGGTTGGGGCTGGGCCCCTCTCCCCCCCCCCCCCCCTCACCATTTGCGCCATGCTCGTTGGGTTTGGGCTCAAGGATCCATACGCCCTGTTGAGAGGTGGGCGGGGTCAGGCGCAGCTCCCCATCCACAGAAACATTCTCTGCTTCTTCTGTATGCTCGAAAGGAAACATCTGTTATGCATCCCCAAACCCTACGCTGGAAACCCTAAACCCTAGTTTGGGAGGAAACTTAGAAATTCCCCGCGCTCCTGTGCCAATGCACCAGGCGCAGCCGTCTTGGCATTGAAGCAAAGACCGTGGAATCCAAGTGCCTTTGCCGCTTCAATGTTTGCCGCCTCGGAAGACAAGCGCCCGTCAAATCCAAGCAAGGCTGCTTGCTGTAAGATGCTGCAAGTAGAAGCTGTCCTTGTCATCCACGAAGATACAGTCAGCGGCAACCAGTCCTCAGACACAGAGCTTTTCAGAAATCGGGCAGCGCCCTCTTGAATAGCAGCGCAGTCAGGTTTCTCGCCTAGCTTTTGCTATGCACAGGAAGGCAGCGCCGCCGACCACTGGCCGGGTTTGCGGTTTTGTTTGGGGGTGCAATAGGGGCGCTCATCATGAGCATCAGTGAGTCGGGTCCCGGGATCAGGGAAGCTCGGGACAAGAATCATGAGCCGTCATGAGCATCAGCGGCCCCGGCCAGGGCTCGGGAGGCCTGCAGCAGGTAAATTCAATTACCGTATTTCCCAGACCCGTCGATGCCCAAATGAAAACCGAACCGAACAGGTCCCTGTGTGAGCCCTGGCCGCCGGCAATTCCCCGCCCTGTCGGCTGCCGTTCAAACTCAAGGCAAGCCAGCACTGAAGGCCTGGATGGGTCGCATGCAGGCGTTCCAGAAAGAGCTCGAAGATTCGGCTGTCAGGCTTTGAGCAGCCTACCTGCAGAGCAAGTCAGGTTCAACAGCGACCAAATCAATAGTTGCAGCAGGTAGTCCAACAAAAAAGACTGAACGTAGCTCCTAGCCTTGCCTCGGAGCTCACCAAAACAAGCTCTGGAGACACGAGGTCACTCAGGCCGCTCGGAATTGCGCACTCCTCGAAGGGATAGGAGAGTTGAGAAAACGATCGAAGCAACACAGGGAGCAGGGAAGGCTGCTGGATCTAAAAAAGACCGGCATCGAAAGAGGTGAAGTAGGGTTCATATTCCTTGTATCACCAAAGGGACACCCAAATTGCACACTCATCAATATTAAAAAGGAACCTTATGTAACAGTAATATAAACTCTGTTCCAGGTGACGAAAAGCGAAAATGTGAAGTCATCGTTGTCGTGGAGATCGAGTCCAAGGCCGCAGGGACCATAGTCGAACTCTAGCATCTTTCCGCCCCCTCCCCCTTCCCGCTCACCTCCCCCCCCCCCCCCCGCTTCTCCCCAATCCCTTCTTCCCTTTCCCCTGGACCTTCCCCCCCCTTCTCTGTTAGGTAATAGTCCACACCGCTGACAGGGCTGCGGCCGACGTCGGAGCCAGGTGCTTTGCCGCCCCGGCTCCTCGCCGAGGCGGCCTCGCGCAAGCGTTTGAATTGGTAGTAGCACGCGTAAGTCCCCAGACTGACAATAGAAATCGGTCTATTGTTGCTGTTTTGGGTTGATCCTTCTTAGTTATTTTGTTGGTCCTCATATTTCTTGATCCGTATTCTGGAGGGTGTCAACAAATCCGCACATTCAGATGTGATCAAACGTGGTAATCCTCATGAAACCAGAAGCCTATGTGGTTGGAGATGACACCGAGCACGACGCCCTGTTCTCGTGCAATCCTGAGCACCTCCAACGTTTCGGAATAGTGACCTCGCACAAGATGTCACACCGCCTTTTCCCTCTCCAACCCTCACTCAGAGTCCCCAAGTAATTGCTCACAACCTGTAACCTAAAAGTAACAGCCGGTATGGCAATGCCAAAGCATGCTTGCAATGCCGCTGTGAGACTTCGAAGGGTGCCACAAATCTCAGCGTCTGCTTCCTCTGCGAGAGCTAAAGATTGCTGTGCACGCGGGTAGAACATCGTGTAAACGCCCTAGCATGCCGTAGCCAAAGACCACATTGACTGTAGATCTCGAGTTCCCGCTTGTGTTTACTCGGAAAACTCCAGGTCTCTGAACGGATTTGTGAGCTGAAACATTGAGAAAAACAGTGAACTCAAGGAGAGACTCAAGGAGAACCCAAGAGTACCTAGAGTACTTGAGACTGCAGCTTTTTTACGAGCCACAAAGGCCGCAAAGCTATGCATCGCTGTGTCAACAGGCGGCAAAAGGGTAAGGACGAGGGTCAGGACAAGTAAGGAGCTTCCGCTACATTCATCTGATTACACACACATTCTGTTTTCCGAAGCCTACAGCAACTACGGTTGGCATGGCCAAGATGGGCCAAGCTTCCTTTGCAGCAGATGGGTCAAGCCCGCTTGATTCGCAGACCAGCTGCCAGAAGCTGTCCTCTGGTGAAAACAACTTTGTCTCGACAGTCTTTGATAGTCTTCAAAACTGATCGGCGAGGAATGACATGTGAAGCATGCCGAGAATGCAGGACTTCACTGGATGAGGGCAGGTTTTTGCGGGAGAGAAAAGATCAGCAGAATCTCGTCCTTGGTGGCTGTCGGGCTTTCCTTCAAAGCGTTCCAGGCTGCTTTGGCAGCCTGACAATCCAGGCCGTGAAACTTTTTTCCGTACGTGCTGTAGACGATTTCCTGACAGAAACACGATAATTTCACGGCTGTCTTCCCAGGGCCTTTGCAGCATGTTCTGAGCTCTCCGAAGCAACTCGACGGCGGACTGCCTCCGAGGTCACCACTGTCACCACTTACCACCCAAGAACTCCAGGACAGTGAGAACGAGCTCACATAGAAAGCATCACGCAAGTCTTCTTCAATGCTGAACTTGCTGCTGAACCTGATCAAACACCTTAGTTAGCCTGAGTTTGTCCAGCCTGTTGTTGCAAGCACAAGGTCTGGGAGTATTTCCGTATTTCAGAGTGTGTTCAACTTGGAACCGGTGTTTTTGCTTCGAACAGTTGGCATTTGCTGTACTTTGCGGTGATTTCAAAATCTCTGTCCGATCCTGTGGCATGCAGTCGCTCAGTCTTGGACTCCAAGTTCCAATTTGGGCGTGGCACCTGCCCTTCACTCAATTGTTTCACAACATGCGCCCTGACCCACCAGATACCTCCTTCAGGCCCGAATCTGGATGTGTGACTCCACCACAGTCAACCACCAAACAGCGCAACGCAGCCATGGCAACAGCATGGACGAGTTCAAGCGAAGCTCTAGAGCTTAAGCAGCAAGCCTCTGTGCAACACGTGCAATTCGGCATGGAGCTAGGGAGTGAAGATTACCTGGCCTTACATTTTGCCACAGTTCTAACATGTCATGACATGTTATAAAGCTATTCAACTTCCAAGCCGAAATGCACACAAGATCTGCTTGTATACAATGTTACAAGTCACCACAACTGCCAAAATCAGAGCTCCAATTCCAATGCCAGCACATCATGCTCAGGAAACAACACTTAATCAGCTGATCATGGCGATTTGAGCTGATGAAGTACATTGCATCGTTTGTCCAGACACATGACGTAATCTGAACCCTACTTGTATATTTTCGTGTCATCCAAGGAAAAGCGGCGAGAATGTCAAGTTGTCAAATCATCATTACGCTATGACTGACTAACAGGTGTGCAATCGACCCTGGCTGGCAAGCATGCTCAACACCGGCGTGCCTCCGCATGGGTAGAACGTGTTGGCGGCTTGCCTGAAGCGCATTCCCAAGCGAAAGCGAAGTCTGACAGAAAGATGTTCTTTGTCGACAGTACTTGTGCTTGCAATTTGCTGAGGTGCCAGAACCACGCCTGCGTTATGCTGCGGTCATGCCTCAGCTCCCGGCCCCATGTTCTGCAAAGTAGGTTTGGGCCCTCCACACCTAAGCTGCGGGACATCTCGAACTTTCCCATGCTATAGGGAGGCATCTTATGCCCTTAAAACATCTCGGCACTCAACCCCGAGCAAGATAGAGCATATGTGCGCACACCCATACATGTGAAGCCGCTAGGTACTGTAGCCGCTCCGTTCCGGACCAGACAACCGCACAAGGCACCCTTGGAGGCTTTAAACTTTCCTGCGGCAGATTTCATACCATGATAACGCATGGCACAAACTCCCCGAACCCGAACAATCAGATCCCAATTTCCTTTGTGCATGCACAAGCCAGCCCCTGGTACCCCAGAGATCCAAGCCCTCATCCCCCCCTGAAAACCCCCCGCCCCCGCCTGGCACACCAAGGCCCCTGGTCCCCCCCCCCCCCCCCCCCCCAAAACAAAACCACCAAAAAACTCTTCTTCCACCATCCCACCCACAAAAAAGGTAGACAGAGAAGATGGCACTTCTGAACTATGCTCGTGGACAGGACGCAAACCAAACTTTGAGCTGAGATCTTGGAAGCAGGGATCGCCGGAGCAAGCTTCCACGTAATCCTTTTCTTTGGCTGCAGGAAACGGCCAAAGCCACATCACGCTCCGCGTTGGAAGCTAAGGGTGGGTGGATCACAGAGATCGCAAACAGCACTGCCGAATACTGCACGCGCCCCTGCCAGTAGGGGCTACCGCCGACAGAGCTGGACATGCTTCAAGAATTCGCAATGCTCCTCTGCGCGCGCGCGTGCGCGCACGTGGCATGCAAGATTCAGAAGCAAGATCCAAAGCCTCCATCCAATGTCTCGCGAATGGGGCAAGAAAGAGAGCCGAAGGACAGTGCTCACCATGTTCTAAGCCGTCACAGGAAAGATCATGCGCAGGGATGCTGGATGGGGTTTACCCATGCAGCATACACGTGGTCATGGATAGCCAAGTAGAGCAAGCGGACGATGGCATCGAAAATCACACGTCCATGAGCTCATTGCAAGCAAGCGGCCACAAAAGACCTGGGGAGTTAAAGTGACGCAAAAGGCCATAGGCGCAAAAACCGTCGCAGCTGGCATCTGAGTGACCACCACGGGTGGGGCCTCCGTGCCAGAACATGTTAGTTCCGCTTAACAATCCTAGGACCCACCTAGCCCATTTGCCATCTGTATCCTGCCCAATCGTAGCATGGCGGCTTGGCCCGGCATTTCTGTAAGAGGCCTAAAGACTTCAACGACCATCGTTACGGCAATTTTCCACTGGTGCCGCAGCGGGCAGATTTGAAGCTCGAACAGCTTAGATAAGCTAGGACTCCACACTGCGCCGATTATGGGTTTTGGGGTCAGGGCTTTAGGGTTTACCGTTTTGGGGGTCTTGGTGTCGGGCTTTGGGCTTGGAACCTTCTTATCTTGTTCTCATCCAAAGGACCAAAGGAAGTAAAGGTGGACGTTCTAACTTAGAAGCCCTAACCCCTCAACTGCATTTCTGGCACAACACAAATCACAAGACCATGCCTCGACCTGGACGAGCAGAAGGCGACAAGCAAAAGCACGAAATAGTGTTGAGGACTGAGGGGTGCTCGTGTACTCTTCGGCAAAAGCCCCACACCATGAGCTCCATGACCCTACGGGACCCTGAAAGCCTTTCGGCCCCGCAGATGCCCAATACTCGACCTCCTGGATCCCCCCGGAACCCCTAAACGCCTGAACTCCTAAATCCCAAGCTGCGAACCCGATACTCTCTTAAAGCAAGCCCACATGGCGCCGGAACCCTCCCAGAAGCCGACACCGCTAACGTGGGCAGTCGTTTGAAGAGGCGCCAAGCTATACAGTCAGAGGCCCGTGCAATCATGTAAGCCAGGAACCCCCAAGCTGCAGCCTCTGGAGAGTATGCCGCGAGTTGCCACGCCCAGTGAAGACTCCGTGATAAGGATCAACGGAGCCAAGAGAGAGAGCAGCTGGACAGCCCAGCATCCCTGATTGTGCAGTTCAGAATGCTGGGGCACCTGCCGGCGGCAGCTGCTGTTGCGTGCAAACTGCAAATCGTTGCAGGTTGGACAAGTCCAGTCACCTGCAAAAGAAGAACAGAAGCCATCTTCGGAACATGAACCGGGCATGCTTTGCCTGGACGAGCTTTTTCCTTGTTGCTGGCCATTGTGCCCCTGTCAGGCAGATGACAACAACGCACTGCATTCCTGCTGTAGCCACACACCAATCAACACAGGCTCCAATGTTCTACTACAACTGCCCAGACAGCATCCAACACATAGCAAATGATTGTGCGCATGCAAAACTGGGAACTGCATGACGAACTGATGCAACAGCGCCTGTCATGCCTGTCAGCACCTCCCTCCCACCCGCCCCACCCGCAACTAAGCTCAGGAAGAAAAAAATCTACACAAGCAATCTGCAGGGCAAGAACGCTCCTTGCAATGACACGGATCTGGCCAATGTTAGAGGCATGCACACATAATCATGCACATGAGTCAAACACTCTGTACAAAGCCGTGGTCATCACATGAAATCACCATGGTTGATTTTGCCGGTGCATTCTCCGAGCGTCCAACAATGTTGCACGGCGAAAGTTCAAACAGTGTGCACCCTTCGGGTCAGCGTGATCAGTGCCTATGGAAAACTCGTCACAACCCGCATCCCAAACCGAGTACTCACTCAGCCCAAAGTCTCCGAATGTTCTCTCCGTTCTGTCCATCTTTGACTTTGGCATTTTGGGGTATTGCAAGATGCTTCAGAGGCGGACCACGCACCGCGAGAAGCAGCACGTTGCAGCGCTTGTCGCAAGGCGCAGCTTTTTCTCAGCCCATTGCTCTCCGTTTAGCCCATTTGGACACAATAATGAATCAGCACACGCGAAAAACTGTGTCTCGAAACATAAAACTCTACATCTCAACTGATACCAGCAACTTTACATGCATGCACCAACAATGCCATACTACTACTCTACATCTCAACTGATACCAACAACTTTACTTAATTTACATGCATGCACCAACAATGCCAGACTACTTTGAGCCAGCGCCGCCTCAGTTTCAGAAGTTTTGCGTAGTCGGCCACAAGACTTCCGGGGCTTGTGGGCGGCTCAGCCAAGCTGGCAGAATGGAAGCTCATGGAAGTTCAGTCCCTTCTTTCCATCATGCGAATGACACCGCTTCAAGCGTCAAAGCTCACTCGCCACAGCACGTGGTGCGTAGGGATGGGCCTGGGATTGGCAAAAAATAGCAAGCTAAGCACTTGCAACATCTTGCAACACACAGCGTAAACTGTCTTGAGCAGGTATACATCGTATATACCCTGGCCCGAAACACTCGAGGCTGCAAGACCGAGGGCCTGCAGAGGTGCGAAACTCAGGCGACACGATGCGACACGTCAACAAGCCAGCGCGATCCAAAGTGCAAACCCATCACCAGGAGGCACGGGCTCTGCCAACGTGACAAGCCTAGGTCAATGAAGTCAACAGGCCTTGTGCGATGGTGCTGACATGTGCGGACATCCTGGGTCAGGGTTCCCATGGCCCATGGTTGCCGGGATACACCAAGCCCCAGCCCATGCTTCATTCAGCCTATTTCAATCATATTAAGGAAGAAAACATCAAGTGCGCCGCCCACTCATCAGCTGCATCTCCATGAGCGGCAACTCGAAGTCCAGAGCTCTCAAGTTCTCTTGGACATGCTGCACCCTGCGGTCGTCCACACAAGGACTCCGGTGACTCGCCAGTGACTCACATTCCGAGCCTTTCACTGTGAAACACCACTGCAAGGCCAAGCTGAAGGGCCCATCGAATGAGAACCTCCAACTTGCAGAAACTTGAGCAGGATACTGCAGAATCGCGCCCAGACTGCTCCAGCAGTTTGCAGCGGCTTGCTACAGGATTGATGTCGGCCTGCGCGCTACTTCGCTTCATCCGTTGGGCGATTGCCAGAACCTGGTCGCAGCATCGAAGTGAGCTGAGTTCGCTGCACTGATGCTGTGACTATGATACCCTGCAGACCAGCACAAGACAGTCTTCCGCAATTGGACTAGTCTGGAGCTGTTGTGAAGATTCGTGAAGCGTTTGCAGCTTTCCGGTTCCAAGCGGCATGCGGGTCATCAATCGGACGGAGTGGCCGAGGCCAGTCTGATAACAGCCTGGCTAGGAGGAGCGGTAACATGTTCCCAAACTATTCATAAGCCAACTCTGGTTCGGACCCGTTTGCAGCCAGCGCCACCGAACGCCCCCCGAAGTGCCTGCTAAGGGCTGGCATTAAAACAACTGAGGACTTCAATACCAGTGTACCTCTCGATATCACTCTACCATCTCAGTCTCCAAAATGGACTTGTAGGAAGACACTCAACAGATTCAGCAGACCACACTAACTGCAGAAAGATGTTGCACAACAAGAGCATCGTGAACTCTGACGTTCTGATAAACAGCATGGACAAGCTAGGCTCATGGAGCAAGCATGGAAAAGAGTCAGCACCTCCAGGTGTAGCGCGACGGTCCATGACCTAGTGTACAGTGCTCTACAGTTGTGAATTCGACATACAGACAAACAAAACAACAGAGACAGATGCCGGTACGCATAGATTTTCCGACTTCTTCCCACCACTTCACCCATCCCAAGCCATCCCAGAAGCCATCTCAAGTCTCAAAAGTCTGTTTCAACTGTCTATACACGTGTCCGCGTCTGCTCTTCGCTGTTCTGCTCTCTTACTCAGAGTACCGTTCCACTATTTTCCACGCTTCTCACTCACAATCATGTGCTGCATATTTGCACCGGAGAACGCACTAATAAGACTAAACAGAAACAAAGGTCTGTGGACGTGGTCTCGAATACGGTGTCGAACACGGTGTTTGAGGTGCTGGGGAAGGCTAAGAAGGGGCGGCGCGATCGTGGCCTCAGGGCATTTACAAACCACGAGTTCTCGAGAGTTCTCGTCACAGCCGTGCGGACTTGAAACTCCGAGGTGCACCGCTTGGAGTGCCGACGTGCACGACCAGTAGCTTGGGTTGGCCCGGCGGCTGAAGCAGGTCGCGCACATAGATACTGTTCAGATTGACTCCCCCGTGTGGCCAGCAGGGTTCCAACTTCCCCCAACACTCTTCGATGTTCTACAACTGCACCGAGTCGTCTGAACATCGACTAGCTAGAAGCAAGAAAGCATCGACGCTTCTTGGGCTTCGACGGTACGGAGTGAAGACCTGAACGCAGCGGAACACAAACTCTTTCGCTCCAGCGCCAGTTGTGCCAACGAACATTTGACATAATCGAGGGCTGTGAGTCGCTCCACGCTCCCAGCACCCCCCATCCACTGCTCAGGCTGCTTAGGTTTCCAAAGCGATGCTGTGGGAATCTATAGGACAAATTAGGAGAAGGCAAGTCTGCCAGCCGTTGCATTGCCGGAGCTGCTGCAACTTGGAGTCTTGGAGACTCATGGCAGGCAGCTGGTCTCATATCGCGGCACGCAACGCAGTTTAGTGCGAAAGCACTCTGAGCCATGCACACACTGGGCAAATTCTACACCAGCTCCACCATTTGGAAGATCATCCACCTGCTCCGATCACCAATGAAAATCCAAGGCAGCTTCTGGCTTGGGATGTGCTAGTCCTCACCTTTCGGTCTAAGAGTTCGTGCGCCGAGATGCTATTTCAAGACTTGTTCAACAGGCTAGACGCGGTCGAGGAAGCAGAATTTTCTACAGCATTCCGCAGCTACGCCCCTGGCATAACCTGAGAGCACATACCACTGGGCGCCTCCTCTGGGGTAAAGCCCTTCACACCGAGAGCTCCAACTTTCTGTCTGCCTTTCAACCTGCACCCCCACGCATCCCCGCGCATGCTTCGTGCTTCGAGAACCACAGGGAGAGCGTTAAACCCTCGTGCCAGACTTGCTAGATTCTCAATCGGTAACTTTCAAAGCCGAAGACATGGGCCAACATGTCTGCAACCGTACTGCTTTCGCGCTTCATGTATAACCTGTATCACGGGGCAAGCATTGATGTTGTTTTTTGGATTGGTACGCCTTAGGCTGCGCCACTAGAAAATTGGGGAGCATTGGCGCTCCAGCAACAAGATGCCAATGTGGGCCACCTGTTCCTGGCGGCTGGCCCAAAACTTGCATTTCTTCTTAAAGCGCAAGGCCTGTATTTCCTGCGGACCTTCCTTTGGAAACAACAAGCTGCGCATCTCAAATTTCATGGCAACAAACGTATAAACTACTGCAAATCTTGCTTGTCTCGAGCAATGGTCTCTTGAACTGCTCCCGGCTGGGCCCTTGTTGTCCGCGCAAGATACTGACGCAAACCAATACTGAAGCGAACTAAACAACAAGAGCTGGAGAAAACAACCTGCACTGATTGCTTCGAACTGGTTGCCAAAGCATGGCAATCAATTGGCTGAATAGTGTCCAAATTTGACATTCTGCCATTCTGCCCTGCCTCTCCAGGTGCCGCCACCTTGGGCAAAATTGCTCAACTGCCTGCTGCCCGCACAGTAGTCAGTAGCTTTGTGTTGCTCCAGATCTGGGCTCCAGTCTGTCGCGTTGATGCTGCACCCTGCAAATAAACCAACGAAGTGACAGGAGTACACGGTCTATGGTTGATGGCACATGTCACACAAGTGTCAACATTTCAAGTATCTAAAACTCTGCGAAGTTCGTTCGACCGAGCAATACCTACCAGTAAAACACAGTGTAGCGACATGCTGAAATCCCTCGGCAGTCGCACCAATCACGATTGTCGCACAATCGGGCGTTTGTTTGTGTCGGGGATGATCAATTCGCGGCCTGTTTCACAGACATAGAAAGCACAGAGGGACCGGGTGAGAAGGGTGGGGAATACATGCCTGCGATGATTTGTCAAGTGCGCATCGTTTGACTAGCAATCCAGCGTGCACAGTGACTCGAGCGTAGACTCAAACCGTAGGGCGTAGAAACACAGGGCAAAGTTAAATCAGTAAGTGAGCTGTCCTTCCGAACATGCGTGTTTCCAACTCGGCCTCCTTTGCCAGTATGAGCATGTCCACCGGCTTCCCCAACCTGTGCTACATGATGCTACATGTCAGTCCAGCTGCTGTCGTGGCTCTACTTGTGGCAAAGGTGCTTTGCTGCCACTGAATCAAGCTGGGCCTTGGCAAGTGCTTTACAGATCTGGACAAAATCAACTTTCAGGCAAAGCAAAGCAAGTGTGCTCGGAGCCATGCAGCAGAGTTGAGCCATCCTTCCCACAGCACGGAAACAAACAAGTCGGCTGCGCGCACCTCAGGCTGACGCGCGTAGAAAAAATGGCGGGAACAGGCAACACCTCACAAGCACAAGTCACGGAGATCCATTGGAAAATAGCTCGGGTTCGAGCACCACTGCTCTGAATTGCCTGTCCTGCAACCCGTAAACAAACATCTCCCACATGCTGACTTGCAATCACAGCCCAAAACAAGAGAGATGATTCTTCACATACTTCACGAGCAGTTGGAGCTGGAGCCCTTTGCATGCTCCCGCTGATGCAGTGAAGTGTAGGTTGACATACAAAAGACGGCTCTCAATGCAACACTCCCGCTCAAGGAAACACAGCAGACCAAGCAAGAACTTGGTCATGTATCCGTCTGCATGTCATATGAGTCATAAGCTCTATGATGGTGTGGGAAGTCTCACGCAGTTTCGACCCTCTGTGGCACAGCGCGCATGCTTTGTGACAATCATAGCAGCAGATCAACGCCTCAACGATGTCGGTCGCGCCTGCAACTTCAGCGACTGATGGCGACACCTGGCATGCGCAACCATAACACAAAATTTCCCTCAGGAAGCTCTTGCAACCAGCAGTCTCCAAGACATTGTGCCTGGAGGTGCCGGACCTTGAAAAAAAGCTTCCACAGGCAAGAATGCAGTCCCTCAAAAAATGTGCTTGGGCGACCTTGGGCTCCTGGCTCCCAGCTTCAACGCCTGTGCGATCGTGGACAATGAAGGTCTGCCTGTTCATCTTTCTGGCGTTCGAGAACAGGTGCCACATTCGGCAAGCGCTTCCAAGAACGGTACCATGTCCAGAGATGGCGAGCGCAAGCAGCCTCGAAGGCTCTGAGCTGCAAAGCTGCAAAGCTGCAAAGCTGCAAAGCTGCAAAGCTGCAAAGCTGCACTGCAATAGTCACCGTAGTTGAAACACGAGCATAGGCGAACAGCCAGTCCAGTCCCCGACCGGGGCTGTGTACAGGCACCACATTTAGGTGTTCTGATCCCGCATCAGCGCCCGTTTCCTAAGTGCCTTTCATCTGTTGAGGATGCCGCTGAGCCGGCGGAAAACGATGGCCGCAGGGTGACGCAGGGGCAGGGAAGTGTCTCGGGGCTGGGTCCTGCAACATCCTCCGGCCAAAGTCATAAGGCCGTCAGACCTTGAAAAAACTTGAAAGCACTAGCAATGGCAACCACCATGACATTTTGGACTTGGAACCCTCTAACCCAATGGCCGGTGTCTGAGGATGCCTTCTCAAATGCCTCGCCCCATGGCTCCATGTTTACTTGGTTGATCTCCATGGTCAGGATATGCAACTGAAAACCTGAGCAAATAAGATCCACACGGCATAGCTGCACCACCCTTCAACTGGAGCGTCGCTGCCTGCATTCGTACTCCGGAAATTCAATGCCTTTCAGTGAGGCCGACAGCCACTGCAACAAGCTCTGAATTTGGTCCAGCCGTCGTTTTCTACACCTCAAAGCGCAGCAGAGATCTCAAGGGCCTTAAGAGCGACGGAAACTAGGTGGCTTAAGATCGTCTGGCAGTACGTGGTCCTATGCAAGCTTCTGGCCTTATGCATTTGGAAGCCCTGAAACGATCCAAGCGCTTCCCAACTGTGACAACCAGCCAGCTGAGTAAGAGGACGGGCCTGTGCCTCTTTGGGTATGGTGACGACTGCCTTGGCACACAAAGCAAATCAGGTCGCGCAGGGGCTCCTCGATGCTGCAAATTCAATCATGATACCGCTCTTTCAGAATTCTTTCGAATAGTGAATATGGTTGAAGTGAGTCCTGGGTACTGACAGAGTGGAGCAAGCTGATCTTCAGGGCTCTATGTGGCTGTCTGACCTTGGAGCCTCTTGATTGGGATGACGATAGTGAAGTGTCGGACTTGCGTGGCGTCAGAACAGAAACAACACAACCAACAAACATCTTGCCCAAGGATTCGGAGATGAACTTTCTGAACAAACGCTGTCACGCGAGCAACTCCGGCAACGCCTGGGAAGTCAACTCTATGGCAACTCGATTTTCCAAATTAGTAATGTCGACTGCCATCTTAGTACACCATCGTCTCATCCAAGAAATCCCAGCTACCGAGTCAGGAATTTCGCTCCTATATTCTGGAAGTACTAGCGTGATCACAATTTCCCGTCCCTCCGCCTCTATGAAGGACAGGCCGGATACTGGGACTCCGAGGCTTCCACCATGGGAAACGGAACCCCAAGCCCGGCTGCCTGCGGGTCCATGTTTGCAAGCATTGCTATCATTCCCATCATGCCATTCTTATCATTCCTGGGCATGATGCAAAAGGCTGCCATTGGAACCACGTTAAACCAAGCTTCGTGTGAAGATGCTCCGGCCGTACTCTGGACTTAAGGAACTCAAAAGCTGACTCAAAGGACTGCAAAAGACTGAAAAGCACTGAAAGGCAAAGGAGTCGAAGGACCTCAGGCTGGTCCAGCAGGGGGTGGGCAGCAAGCCTCGGGACATCTTGAGAATAAAAATTTCTACGCATTCCGACATGACTTCTTGCAATGAGTCATACAAAGTGCCGTATTGTGTGACATGTTGTGCCGCGACATCCGAATGAAACACCGAAGACCTAACCCTGAGCTGCGTGCAACCGATGTGCATCGACTGACAGCTGCCTCAACACATGGGCCTAGAAGGCCTGTAGAGTGTTCTACATACTACATGCAGCTTCTGCCCTTCAGCCTTTTCACAAGTGCTTGGTGCGTTTTGTAAAATTCTGTACCCATCCCTGGAACGATGAGAATCTCTGCCTCGGACACCTTGTTCTAGAAACTTGCACTGCGCGAACCCACCTGATCAGCTGCGAAACCTCTTCCGCAGCCTCTGGGCAGACCGAGAAACTTGTCTGGTTACCTACTGTACGAGTTGCCGCACGACAACTTTCAGAGGCACTGGTAGAATCAGAAAAACTCCTTGAATGAAACTCCTTGCCCCCAGCCTTGGAGAAGCTGTCCGTATCGGGCGTGGCAAAGAACCGACCTTTGAGGCAGGCTACGTTGACAGGCCCTGTGCTCAAACGTGGTCTTGTGTGCTAAGAACCGACCGATGGCAGCTGCTGTCCTCGTGTCAAACCACGCACTGACGAGAAGCACTGTAGAGACACCGGGCACGAGCACAAGACAGAACGGAGGACACGAGGGGTTCAGCCAGCCTCTTGGCTATGCTTTCCACATGCTTGAGACGACCTGGTTCGCAAGCATGGAACACGCTCGGCCGAAATATGACGGCTCATGAGTAAGATGCTTGGAAAGAACAGGCCAATGAGACATTGAGTTGGTACATGCCGCTCTGACACACCCTTCATCGCACAAGCATGCAGCACCAACGCCAAAAAAAACAAGCGCCTCTGGCGAAACTCTCTGCAGCCAGAAGATTCGCCACCGCATAGCGCCAAGCCTGAAACAGAAACGGGAATCAAGTGAGTGCTGTGCTGTCCGGCAGGAAGAGATGATGTTTTCTTTGCTCGTGGGGGTGAGGTGAAACAAATTGGCAAACAAAGCAGGCAGCATATATGGACGTCCAGAAGCTGACTTTGTCAGCTTCCCCAGCATTCGCCGAACACTGATATACACTGATGATGCTCTTGCCCTGATGTGGCGGTGCTCGCTGCCAAGTGCCTTCAAATCACATCGAGCCTGGTGTCAGCAAAGGCGGAGTCACGTGGCCAACAGCAGCCAACAGTCGTACTTGAAGAATTTCATGCAAGCCCCTTTGGGGCACATAGCCCACCGTTTAGAAAGCCATCGTTACACAGACGATCATTTGTGGCGGCGTGTGTTGCTATGCAAGATTATGCAAGTCTCCTGCGCGGTAATTGCTGCAGGAAACAGGCGGGTCGCCAACGCCATTGACCAGCCGAGCAGAACAGCTAGGTTCGAGAAAAACTCGCCTTACCTCGGGACCAGCTACTTCCGATGAACCTTACCAGCATTGGGCAGAAACGGGAACGGCAGTTCGAGGGGACATGTTTTTCAGTGACGAGGCTTGAGGCAAAAGTTGGAGTACGAGAAGGCAAACTTCAGTTGCGTCGGTCCACGAGGAACCTAAACGGGATGGCTTAATAGGCACCAGACCATATTCACCCCCAAATGCTGAGTTCCGAATCCAAGACTGCCCTTCCGACCCCCGACCAAGGGACCCACACCCACCCGATCTGTCGACCCCCACCCCCACCCCCTCCCCTTCCCCCCAAAACTCAAAAAACCGACGATTTCTGACCGCCAACCCACAAAAACGCTCCGTGCGTGCTTGCCCCCAAAACTCACAAACACCCCACAAAAAACGCTCCGTGCGTCTCTCCCCCCCTGACCCTGCCCACCCCCACCCCCCTGCCCCTACCCCCTAATCTTGCTTGAAGTCCATCGCGCAAACCCGAAGTCCATCTCCCCGACCCCCCGACCAGGGGACCGGGACCACCCCCACCCCCTCCCCTTCCGCCCCCCAACCAGAGACCCCCCCCTCCGGGCCCCAAAAAACTCAAAAACGCTTTTTTTGTAGAAGGAACCGCCAACGCACAAAAACGCTCCGTGCGTGCTTGCCCTGCCCCTACCCCCTACTCCTCCTGAGCCCGAAGTCCATCACCCAAACCCCAAGTCCATCGTTTGCACCCCCTACACCCCCTCACCCGGCCCGACCTCCCGAGCAGGGGACCCCCCCCCGGACCAGGGGGCCCCCCGATGACTGGCGGGGCCTCACTTCAGCGCAGTATATACTCGAGAGCAGCGCTGAGCATCTCGGAGCAGCTCGATGTCGCACCAGGTCTGTCCCACGGGGGAGCCAGCCGCGCCGACTTGATGAAGCTGAGGTAGCAAGCAGCCAACGCGGGGGCATCTGAGTTGTGGAGTGCCCGGAAATACGACAAGCCTGGCCGCCTACAGAAAATCTGTCGACCGTACGCTCAACAAAACTTTTTTCGCCGTGGTAGAACATGGTCCATGGTGTAATATGGTGGAAAACAGCATCATGAAAGCTTTGCGCAACGAATTTGTTTAGGGCTAGGGTTTTGCAAACAACTTCTGCAGGAACGACAAATGCAATTGTTGCCTACATTTCTGAATCCGGAACACAGGCTTATCTGGAAAACTGCAGCTTTCAGCATGGCAAAATTGTATGGTATGCAACCGGGAAGCCTTCACGTTTTGCTGATTGGTTTCGTCAGTAAAAGTTTCGACATGAAATCGGCCAATTCAACACAGAAAGGTTGGGGAAGCTCTCGTCCAGTTTCTTCTGGCCCACATTGCGTGCTGGATGTGGGAGTGTAAAATAGTGTCAACGTCGAACGTTAAAGGCCATGTGTTTTGATTGTAGGCCTGCGCTTGTTCCTGCAAGGCGCGGAGATCCTGGAGCTATAAGTTATGAGCATTGACAAGGCTAAACACAACAAGCGATGCCACGGGTGAGCTTGCGTGCCTCCACTGCTGCCCATGGTTGAGCGCAGTCCTGTTCCAACATGGTGGTCATCGGCTTATCACGTGAGGTTGCGTATGACAAGCCGATGGAGGCCTGGAAGCGCTTTGCGATAGCACACTGGAAGGAATCACCTGACAGCATTGCACGAGCTTTGACTTGATGCATGAACGACAGCATGGTTTTGACTGACTATGTGATCGTGCCAGTTTCCAGGAACCTTGATCGTGTGTGGTTTTCCTGTGTCCACGCTCTGTCACGGAAGCAGCCGACCTGTCTTCAGTGCCCATTGTGCTGCCTTCCAGAGTCAGCACGAACGGCCGCAACTTGAAACTTCTCATTCACTGTCAGAATTGACCACGTCAAGTGTGACAAAGCATATTGTGAGCCTCTATCAGCGGCACACGCACGTCTGATGCCAAAACCGTCTGCACCAACAGTACGCATGCAAACCACAACATGCAACACAGCAACACGGTAACACGTGATCATGAACTGTCTAAGTTCTGCTCGTTATGCGCCAGAAGACGGATTATTTAAGCTATAGTGTTGGTTTTTGTTGAGACGGCATTTTCACAAAGTATTTAGTACATTGACGCGTGATGCCCAGCATCGTGACCAATCCTGGCTGCCATGTGGGTGACGAGTCTTTAAGTGCTTTTATCGTTTGAGCCAAAAACAGTCTGAACCAAAAGACTTCAAAGGCGCGATATCACTTGAGCATCATACCGCGGTCGAAGTTGCAAGCTGCTGGGCACCTTGCTGCGCCCCGCTTCATGCGGTAACCCTGCGAGACCGTACGACCCTACCGCCCCATCACCTATAACTGAACATCATTTCTGCTCAGGCTAGAGCCCTCTCGAATTCGACGAGGTGAAACGGCTATGAAGTTCCCACAGGATGAAGCTTTTTGGGTTTTTTAGTTTTGGGAATCTGCTGCCTGTGTGAAGCAAGTGTGAGCCCTCTGCCATTGAGCAGAGGGGCATAAGACGTATGTGCAAGCAGCTCCGGCTGAAAGTCGGATGGAGACGTGAGAGGCTCTGCAAGTCTTTTCCATGTTGTTGTGGAGCAAAATTACGGGTCCGTTCTGGCTCGGATCCGTTGCGAACCGATAAGGACCCATGACGTACAGTATGTGTATATATGATCTGATGTGATATAGCATGATAATATGATATGATATGACATGGTATGAGAGAATATGATACGATATGATATACCAGGGTAGGGTAGGGTATGGGCAAGTAGGTGTATGTACACATCTGTTCAAGATCGCCCCGTGTCAACGGATGCAAAGCCGCGGCAGTACTGGCACGCCCATCTGACTGTCAGCGGTGCGCGACGAGTGAAACCATGGAGCGAAGCTTTTGAGAAGAAAACCAAATGCACTTGTACCAGGGTTTCGGGTTTATAAAGGGTCGAGGCTTTCGGGCTTCTGTGTCAAAGCCCACACTGCGCCAGATCACACCCACTTCTCCACCTGCTGTTGATGTGATTGAGTTGACCTGTCTTGCTTCCACATCGCACCTCACTGGATGCGTTCCACCTCGATGTCCTCCAGCAAGGCTGCAAGCATAGTGGCACGCGCTAGCGCATGCACAGGCACAGGTATATCTGCGCGACAAAGCAAAACCTTCAGCTGCTCCACTGAATGAGTTGGAGTTTGGGCACGTCCTGCGTGGACATGAAGGTGATCGTGAATCCTCGGCGTCAAGGCTTGTGGGGATCACCTTTTGAGCACAGTGCCCAGACTAGTGCCCAAACCCTAAAAGTCCGAAACCTCAAACCCACAACGCAGAAGGCTGCCGCCTGAATCCTGCCCTGACAACGGAGTCCAAGTAGCGGCCCTGGTGGTTTGTGGATTTGAGAGACGGCACCTGGAACGGTGGCTCTGGCTGTTGGGGCTCCGCGTGTTTGGGGTCAGTCGGTGTCCTCTGGGAGAATGAGAGTTTGGGTTGTCGGGTTTGGGGCTTAGGAAAGTTTAGGGTGTGATTTGTGGCTCAGGTTTATCCAATAGGGACCCATCAAGCGCTACAGCCTTTGGCTAGGTTCCTCGATTGCCTTGAAAGAAGGAGAGTACCTTCTTGATGAATGGACATGCATTCATTTTCACGGCAGGTTTGGAAGGTTCAATGTTCAGTTTGAATTGTCATCGTGTTCTTGAAACTTTTACATGCCTTCCCTCGAGACAAGGGAAAACGTGTCAACGTATGTGTGTAGTGTGACTGCGCAGGTGTACGGTGAATAGTTGACTGCAGCCCCGGCTATTCACCATTTGCAATACTGTCCAAACTCAATGCAAAATACAATATTGCAGAAGTTGCGGTCAGAGTAGATACCAGTGACAATAGCTCCCTGCGGTATCAACTACTCAACAGGACAGCACTCAGACAACCAGAACCAATGCTTAGGTAAAGTTCGCCTCGGCTTCCCGAGAAGCGTCTGGAGCAAGCACCCCCCCCCCCCACCCTGTGGGACCCCCCTCCTTTCCTGTCCTGAGGCGGCGAGCGCAAGCGTTTACAATTACACTGCAAATTTGCAATTATGTGCAGGCTCTTTCTGTAGGGAGTCCATTACGACGTACCTCCACCTCCATGACATCATAAGTGAATCTTGATTGCGCCATACATCCTTACAAACCATTTGTCGGAGCTGTTATTCGCGCCCCACCCGCTCCCCACCCCCCCCCCCCCCCCCCCCCCGGAAAAAAGAAAGGAAAAAGCAAGGACTACCTGGGTTCTAGTCTTTCGGGTATCCAAACTACCACCTGAGCCCTGTCTGGCCAGGGCGCAACGATGAAAGGTTCATCCGGTCTGTCTTGTGGCACTCGTAGAACTGCGCCCACCTACGAATCAAGGAAGTTCACTGTGGATTAACGGATTGAGTTAAGAACTTGCAACTCAGAACATGTACTTCGCTGATTTCACCTGGGGGCTTCGGCCACTCCACACGTTTCTCCACCCGATGGAGAGGCTGCATTCAAGCAGTTTGCAAATTGGCATCCCCCGGCATGCTTGACAAAGAGAGACGAGATGTTGAGCCGTCTCTGTTAACGGTCGCTGTCCTCCGAGAGTTGGGGACTGATGTTTGCGTTCAATGAGGCAGCTTCCGCCCCAGCACCCACCTCGCTGGCACTGGAGTACTCGCGGCCAGTGTGGCGCAGGCCACTCTGGGCCAGGACCTGATGCACGCTAGATTGAGACATAGATACACTCGACTGAGCTAAGAGATGTGATGAGGTTAGGGCTTTCCTGGGACCTCGAGAATTTTAGACAATCAAGCCTCAGCAAGAAGCACGAATTTCGGCTTGGAGAGGTTAGTTCGGGGAGGAGGCTCCCATGAGCCCTCCCATGCCCTTTTTGAGCGCTTCTATCTGCAGCTGTAGACGCGTTGTGGTGGCTGGGGTTCTCGGCCAGCAGCCCATCCTCTCGGACTTCTGGGTTGCGAGACTACATTCTGGCATGCCCAGCTCCAGTACACCTTCATGGATGCAGAGAGGCTGCACAATGAACCTAGAAACCCTGCAGCACCTTACGAGAATCTCCGGCACTTTGAGGAACGGATCCTACCAAAAAGCCCTAAGGCAACAATCTGCACCTGAACCTGTGGAATAGCCTCAACCCTACACCCTACACTTACCCTTCTTCCGGTCCTCGCCCTTCCCCTCGACATTCCGCAGGATGTGCACAGCTGCTGGCCCGGCCTTTTCGGGAGATGTGCTGGGGAGGGTTATGGTTTAGGATCTCAGGGATTGAGGTTCTCGGTTTTGCCCACCCAAGGAGGTTTCGGGTTTTAGGGTTTCAGGGGTTTTAAGGTAAGGTTTGGGGTTTATTTAGGCTTGCTTTTGTTGCCAGCTGCACGTCTCTCTGCCCGCCCTCCCGACAATCGATCAGATTGGACGGTCGGGTCCTTTGGTCGTCCATGAGGCGTCATGGCAACCACCTGGGTTCGTGGGCTTTTTTGGGCTTCTGGCTTAGGACCCAGGGCTTTGGGCTTGCGGATTTTGGGCTTACAGGGTATGGTTCTTAAGTAATTAATGGTCATGATTTTGAACCACCAAACCAACCCCCAATGCGGAAACCTTCGGAAGTGACTGACCTGAAAGCCCACAAGATTTCATGGCGGTATTCAGCCCATAGTGACCCAGGCATATGAGTGCTGTGGGGTGACCAGCAGTGGAGGCGTAGTGGCATCCAGGCTGCTGAAGTCCACTTCAGACTGACGGATGCTGGCAATGGTTCAGTGGTTTGGGGTTTAGGGTTTATATACCGTTGAGGGTTGAGGTTAAGGGTCTAGGGTCTAGTCTGGGATTTAGGGTGTATGTGGGCTTAGGGCATTGGCCCAGTTATCTGCAAGCCCATTAACCTCCATCCTCAGATTGCTTTTCTAGTTCGGGGTGAGGGCTGAGAGCCGGAAGGGTCTAGGATGTCTGGTATGAACCGGCTACCACCCCTGAAGCCCTAAAATGAAAACCTCAACCGCTGCAATTGAAACACGTAAGTCCTAAACCCTTAAGCCCTCAACGTTGCAGTAAACGCTTAAAACCCCTCAACCTTGCGGTACAATTACCCTTCAAGCCCCTCAACCCTGAACCCCAGCAACTTGGGACTTAAGACGAAAAACTTCATGAATCCTTGATAATCCTTGTCTAAACACTTGCACCCGGGGTAGGGGTGCAAGTCCATCAAGAGGGCATGCAGCTGGAAGTCGGCGCTGCTCGGCAGACCCCAAATGCTAAACCCTGAACTCCCTCAACCCTAGCCTGAACAACCGCCTTGAAGACAGCCGCGCAAACCCATCGGCCTCCTAACCGTGGCCCAGCACTCTGATTACAGGCAAAAAAGACAAAAACCACAAACAAATCCGAGGGCCTTACTGGAAAAGTTCTAAGTTCAACTCACTTGGCCCGTTCACTGCGGCAGTCGGACCAGGCCTTAGACACGTTCACCTCTGACGCATCCTGGCTTGTGTGTCTCAGGAGTCGGTTGGACTGAGAGGGAATGCCCATAATATAGTCATACATGACTCGCACAAGCCGGGAAATCCCAGAAGACCGATCTCGGGACTGGTATCGATTCTTGATCTTTGGGTGTTAACACATAGTCTCGCAGACCTGCCATGACTTCAACCGATCTCACGGCAAAATTGAACCTGGCGGTGGCCCACAGGCCTCAGACCACGCCGACTTCCGTAAATGCAGGGATGCCTGGAGAGGCAGCGGGCAGAGTTCGAACCCCAGGCTCCAAAATCCACAGAAGGGGACCGCCGCATCCCTATAAATAACGGAACTGAACCACAAGCTAGAACAAAATCTAACCCTGCCTGAAAAGCCAAGAACTCGTCCCAAGTGATCTCGCGATCCGAGTCGCTGTCCATGGCCTATGGACCGTGAATTGTCGTGCGCTTTTGCTTGGGCAAGTGAATCTTGGGTCTTGAACCCGGCCAAACCCCAAGCCCAATTTCGCGCTCGCTGTGGCACTGTGGGGATCGGCTCGAAGCCCTGCATCAGACTTGTACACTGTGAAAATCGGCCTCTCAACCCGAACCCCCAAAGTCTGCAACCTTCAGCCTGCCGGACTCGCTGAACCTAAACCCAATTTATAAATCCAAGCTGAAGACTGGCCTGGAACAATGCCTCCATCTGGTCGCGGGATCCATCCTCCTGCATGGGCGTTTGAACTCACTACCCACCCCAATCTTCAGACCCCCGACCCAAACAGTACGAAGCCAGCCGAAAAGCCTCTGGGCAATCGAGCACATGCTAGGACTCATGGGATGAAGACCCGGAAAGGGGTTAGGGCTTAGGAATTAGGACCGACCTCAGACTCATCAACACCGAACCCTAAACCCTTGTGAACCCGAAGCCCTAACACCCCTTCATTCCTGGCGGATCTCTGTGGGCAGGCCGAAGAACTCCGCCATCCTGCTGTCGCGGCGAATCGCTTTGATCAGCTCTCGTTTGTTGACCTGGCATGGGGCAATGGGGTCAATGGGGTCAATGGGGTCTCAATGGGGTCGATTGGATTCAGAGGTTTGGGCTTTTTCCGGCGTCTTGAGGCTCGAAAAGCAAAAGCCCGTACAGCTCCTGTGGTATTCCAGAACTTGTGGCTTCAGCCAACGCCAGTAACGCTGCTGATTAATCCAGATGAGATTGCCATGCCATTTCGCTGCGCATCAGTGCTGTCGAAAATCGCGCCTGAGCTGTCAACTTGCACAATCCTTCAAGCTTCTTCCGCGGGTTATGTGAACTAACTTGTCCGGCTCGCCAAACGCTCTGGCTTTCGAACCTCCCTTAAGATACTTCCAACAACTCCGACATCTGCGTCATGCTCACTAAAGGAACCGCAGGCACTCATGCTACCCCGGCTTGGAACCCCAAAACCCCAAAACCCCAAACCCGTAAACCCCCAAGACCCCAAAAGTCGGCTCCAAGGTGCGGAGTTTCTTCAGGTCCAGCTTCTCCGGGCTCGCGGGCGTCGTGGGCGCAGTGTTCGGGCGGGCTGCCGGCACCAGGGCACCCATGCCCTCCGGCCGGGCCCTCAGCAGAAATCGGATGAAGGTTTAGGGCTTAAGGTGCTTTGTTTTGTTTTTTTTTTCCTGTTTTCCCGAAAGCATGGCGGAGGGTTTTTCAGCGGAGGTGGTCTTCGTTAAATTAAAACATGGATGCCGTGACTGATGTCGTGATTGCATGGATGGATAGCGTGATGGATTCCATGGATTTCCTCTTCAAATTAATATCTTTTAAAGCACAAGTAGCGTTGGAGGGAGCCGCCGCACCTGCCCCCAAAATCGCTGACGCGTAGGAGGCGTTCGCATTTTCGTCAATTTTCGTCCGCGAACGACAACCCTCTGCGTGGCCTTGCGTTGTCACGCATGCTGCTGCCAATGTAATGGCTGAGTGCCGCGGCGTTGGCGCGTGGGAGGCGGGGTGCCGTGACGCTAATGCGTGGGAGGCGTTTGCATTTTCGTCCATTTCCCGCAACGATGATGAAGAGCTTTTCAGTGGAAAGGTTACTGTCTTCGTCGTCTTCCTAAAGGTTCCTCTTTGTCGCGATCGTTGATGCATGGATGGATGTCGTGATGGATGACGCATGGATGGATGGCGTTGTGCGAGGTCTTAATCGTGGTTTGAAAATGCTTTCGGGACAGCGGTTCTCGGTGGGGGGTGGGGGGGGGGGGTGGTGGGGGGGGGGGGGGGGGGGGGGGGGGGGGGGGGGGGGGGGGGGGGGGGCGGGAGTGGGGGGGTGGAGGGGGGGGAGGGGGAGGGGGAGGGGGGAAGGGGGGAGTGGGGGTGGGGAAGGGGGGGGGAGGGGGGGGGGGAGCAGGGGAGGGGAGCCCACCCAAACCAGTACCTCAAAAATTTACACACAGCCATTCTGACACGTACAACTAAACACCAAACACAATTCTCCCTGAATTCCTGTACATCCCCCAGACTGCAGACCCTGCAAAAATAAGCAAAACCCAAACCGCTACAGTATCCCCCCCACACCCCGTATTATGCACTTCCGCATCCCTAAAATTCCCACAGCCCTGGCAGCCTGGCCGGGGGCGTCCTGCTGCGGAACGGGTCGGATGCGGGCAGTGTCAGTGCGGAGCGCTGCTCGGATGGGGCCGGCTCCTGCGGTGTTTTTCAAAAACAGAAAATGGTCGGGGCCTTTAGGCAGTTCGGTAGCTCTCTTCATCAAAGAGCTTTTTAGATATGAGAACACTAATGAAAAACAATAGAAAACCAATAAAAACCAATAAACAACAATAGAAAACCAATAGAAAACCAATACAAAACCAATGAAAACCAATAGAAACCAATAAAAACCAATGGAAAACCAATAAAATCAATAGAAAACCAATAAAAAAACAACAAAAACCAATAACAAACAGCTAGAAATAATAGAAAACCAAAAAATGCAAAACCAATAAAATCAAATAAACAACCATAGAACCAATGAACAACCAATAGAAAACCAATACAAACCAATAAGAAACCAATAAAACCCCATAGAAACCAACAAAAACCCATAGAAAACCATTTTAAAAAAACAATAAAAACCAATCAAAACCGGTAGAAGCCAACAAAAAACAACAGAAAACAAACAAACAATAGAAAACCAATAAAAAAACAATAGAAACTCATAAAAAACCAATGGAAAACCAATAAAGACATGGATACAAACCAATGAGAAACCAATAAAAACCGATAGAAAACCAATAACAACCAATAAACAACAATGAGACCCCGTGCAATCATGAGCCCACCGGAAACATCCCAATCATTGCTCGGTTCCAAGTCCTCGTGCTGCTTAGTTGCGGAGATCCGGATGTCAGGACGCGAACGCACGCCCCACATTGACCCCAAATAGACCCCAAACCCTAAACCCGCAACCGGCACAAAGGGTCCTCAGGCGGCCCCTTCAGCTTCACCCGGAACTGTGGATTTCGATACCTTCAGGCAGTGGGGGCTTCGATCGGTAGTCTGAGTTTCCAGGCTCGAGCTTCAGGGACCCAGGGATAAAAAAGGATGAGGTTTAGAGTTTGGCTCAAGGCTATGGGAACCCCCATGAACGACTCCGTGGGGTGTTGCCACGGACGCTGTATTCAACCCAGACGAGTGGCCATGAGACCATAGGCGCGCGGTTGCGGAACCGACCGCCGCCCATGCAGACTTGATGTGGCCGCTCCTGCTAGAATTGAGGGCTGAGGCTTGCTTCGGGTGCAAGAATCAATCGCAGCAACGCTATGAGCAGGCTTAGCCCACAACCCCAAATCCTGCACCCCACAACCCTAAGAAACAAACCCTAACTCTGAAGCACCCACCCCATACAGAACTGTCATTCACTCGCTGACAGCTACTCGTTAGGCCTACGAACCTGCTAATCAGGGTCAAGGTCCTGGAGCCACTTGACCTCGAAACTCTCCTGGAAGCGCTGGGGCTCGCAGTTTGCCGGCGGGATCCTGGTGGTTGCAGCTCTTATCGACTTTGCGCAGCATCTTGTGATCAAGCAGCAGCTTGAGAACCAAATCTCACGTTTTTGTAGGTCACCCTAAGAACCCAAGAAAACGGCTCATAAGCTTGAAGCCCTACCCCGTCACACTGAAAGTTGGAGTCCGGGCAGGCCCGCAAAGCCTCTCCTGATCACGTCCACAGCCTCTGTGGCGTTGACGATGAGGGTAAATGGGCCCACCTCACCCTTCCTTAGGAGAAGATCTCTGAACCCTTTACCGTACTGCAATGAGGACTATTCGGGTACCCCAAGCCGCAAAAAATGCGGAACCTATGACTACTGTTGGATCCCTGTTTCAAGGTTGGAGTAGCCAGATAAGCCTTGTTGTTAGGACCCCACAGTTCACTGCAATCCCCTAAACAGCGGGCGCTCTTGGGGTGCTCTTGGAATCATGCCCGTAGGAGCCCCTGTAATCGTTGATGCCCAGAAACGCAGCAGAGGGCACGATGAAGAGTGGTTGTGAGGAGGGCGGGAGGTCGAACTCGCAGTTGGGAATGTCATCGTCTTCCTCCCCAAGACCGCTCAGCCCTCAGCCTCCGCCTCGACCCTAAACTCCTGAGCTCAACCTCTGCGCCAGGCTTCGCCCCTTGCGGGCTCCATGAGGACGATTCCAGAAGTACCCTTGTCTAGCAGTGGTAAGACCAGGAAAGTTGAAATAACATCACGCAGAAGCAGTCTCACCCACTCGTGTATGAGAAAGAAATCGAAGAATCAAGCTCGAAGACGGAAGGGCTATCCGTCGCTGGCTGTTTTCGCACATGCTCATGATGATTGCCCAGAAAGAAATTCACAACTGAACAGCCTGTGCTGCTAATACACCCCTGCTCTAAGCCCTAAACCCTGAACCCAAAACTCTTAGCTTTTCTTAACCGCTAGATTCAATCCCCCCGCGGTCATGCGAGGAGGCGAGGACCTCGTAGCCAGGCATCAGCATATACCCTGCACCCGCCTCGTGCACCTCCTGTCACTGAAGAAGGTTTGGGGCTGAGAGTTGAGTTTAGGAACGGTACACAGCTTCGAATTCGGGATTAGGGTTCAGCGCTTGACTGGAAACCCTAAACGCAGGGGGGGGGGGGGGGAAAAAAACAAACCTGGGACCTAAACCCACAAAACCAAGAAACACTGAACCTTGAACCCTGAAGTGTAGACTAGATAGAACAAAACCCGTCTCAGAAGGCCCCACCACCTGCCCCAAAACCCCGCAACCCTAAACCCTGCAACCCGACAACCCGAACCCCTGAAAAAAAAAAACATATCTTTTGAATTCAAAGCCCAATTCCTCTACCGGCCGTCCTTGTTGTTCCGCACGACGTGCACAGCCATGGTGGCAGGGCTGACACTCGCCTCGGCCAGGGCCACTGACCTGCCAGGAGACATGAGGACTTTATCCTTTCGCCGAACCGTGGATGCAGTCTCAGTGGGGGTTTGGAGTTCCGATTTGGCTACAGGCCTTTAGGCTCTTTGGTCAGGGCTCAGGGCATTTTAAGTGTATTGGAGGGTGCTTCATGAAGATTACGGTTACGGTCTCATTTTTGATTTTGGGGTGCTCGTAGACTCTCATAAGGATGTGAAACAACCCCCAAATACCCAGCATCCTAAGCCCTACAGTCCAAGTAGACTCTCCTCTTCTGGCCAAGGTGCACTCGAACGCCGCCCACCGAACCTGCAGAACAGCTGAGGGCATCGCGAGGCTAAGCTTAAAACCCCCAACCCAAAACCCCAAACCACCAAAGAAGAGCAACCCGCAGCTGCTTGCCGAGTCTCTCTTGGAACCGGCTTTCTTGTCCTGGTCGCGATTCTTGGGGGTTCTGAGATGGGGTCAAGGTGTAGGCGTTAGGTCAATGAGCTGCGCTGGGAAACAAAGCATGCTATGAAAAGCCTTAAGGCCCTAAAGCCCAAGAACCTGAACACCTAAACTCTAAGTGCAAAACCTGTTCCCCGGAAACGAGTACCGTGAGTACGGCGTGGGCGCCCTGCAGAAGCCTCAACTAGCCATGCGGGCTCCAGGGCATAAACCCTAAAGCCTAAACCCTAAAACCAACCCCCTGAACCCCAGACAGCTTGGGCCCTGGCGGCTTTTTTGCTGGCTTGGCGCTCCAGTCCGGGTGCCGGGAACTCCATCTTCGCATGGCGGATGAGGTAGCCTTGGGTTGGTGGGAAACCCTACAGTTTCAGATGAATGGGTTCGATAAGGATGCAATTCTTGTTCGGCCTCTTGGAAGTACAGAACAAAAAGCGCTGCCCGAACTCAACCCTCTAAAGCCCAAATCCAACCCCCCCTCCCCCCGTGTCTGAGGCGAGACACAAGGGTTCTTTCGCCACGTGCTGGTGCCGAAGGCACCGCCGGAGGTCTCGATGACAAACCTGAACTCAGGTTCGGAAACTTTCCTGTCCGGATTCAGGGTTTAGCAGTTTAGCGTTCATGGTCCAGGGTTTGGGGTTTCGGGGCGACTGCACTGTTGCAAGCAATACAAAGGCTTCGGGTTTGTTAGAGGGCCATGGTGACTACAGCTGTTGGGAAAGCCTTGCCTGCATCTAAGCCATCTCAAAATGGAGCCAGGCCCCTGATTCTGGGATATCTGCCAGGCTGCTCTCCATGGATGGTTGATATGTCCGCCCGGAGGCGTTTGATCTCCGCCTAAGGTTCGACACTGAAGGCTTCCGGTATGGGATTTTGGGCCGGTGACATTTTTAAGAGTATGACTATGAAAAGGTTCTGATTCTCATGATTTAGTATGAAAGTTTTTGGGTATTTGTATTGATACTTTCTCTAGTACCAGTACTCATACTCATACATGTACGATTGAGAAATATTAAAATTAACTTAAATACTGAATGCTTCATGCTAATATTATTATTGACACCCATATTCGCTCGCTGCAGCTTTGCCATTTTGACTGTCTATAGTGGAAACCGATATGGCTTCGAGCCGAAAATATTTGAGCATGTTTTGTAGTAAATAAAGACAACGGATTCCTTAATCTTTGAAGACAAGCTGTTGTCGCCAAACTATTTTTCTCACGTGTGCCAACATTGTTGTCGGACAATGATTTGTCTCTTGGCCCTTTTTGCCCCAAATCCAGCAGTCCAAACGTCCTCATAAATTATCTCGGAAAGTTTGGATTTTTAGTTTCTTGGATTGTGGGTTCGTAGTGCTGCTCTTTTTTTACTCGGCAAGTTTTGCGTTGATTTAGAACTGTGCTTTTCTAGTTGTTTCTAAATTGTGCTCTTGTAAAGCAGACTATATAACCGGCATCTCACAAATACTTCATCCACACGCAATCTAAACATTTTAGTACGTGGTTCTTATTTAACTCATATGCTGATTGTATTCAAGACGTTTTTTAATTAATAGCTAAGTCATACTGAACTGTGTAGCCAGCGCTCTATAGATAAAATTCGTATATAATGAGTCGTCATCTTCATATGAAACGCTATGTGGTGCTTCAATAATCTTCAATACTCTCATTGAATTAGTAGATGGCCAATATTTTGCCAAGGAAAAGCACTATGTGTCTAGAAGGACATGCACTTATCTCCGGTAGCGGAGCAGTTTAAGGAAGAGGGCTAGCAGATATCAGTCCTTACTGTTTGTTTGGTCTCTAGTCTAGAGCTGCACTGTCACCCCTGTCTGAACAGCGTAGGAACTGCGCACGTTGGCGGCAGATGAATAGAACTCCTCGTCACTACTTGGGAGCAAGCTGGAGCATCAAAAACCACGTTTGGTATTGGCTTTTGGCTTTTTTGGCTTTGGCTGGTATTTGGTGTTTGGTGCGGGTCTTACATTGGCGTGTCTCTGCTTCGAGAGCATTCACAAAACGCAGTGCCGCAATAATATTCATATTCATATATCAGTAAATTATAAACATCGGGGCCGAAATATGTGCATTAATTAATACCAACAACAACGTCAATAACGTTAGGTAGGAGTATTGGGCGTGTCAAGGTCGCCTTGCTTCTTCACAAACATTGGCTTTCAGCTTTGAGGCTTAGGGCGTGGGATTCAGGTTTTGGGGTCGAGGCTTTAGATTTAGGGTGCGACTGGAGACTTGTCCCCCGCGTCTGCGGGTGCTGGCCAGAGCTTTGGCCTTCACTCCTTTGGTCCGAGGTCCCATGCCCCTTGTGGCGTACGAGCGAGTTCCCGATGCGCATGGGTCACGTTACGCACCGAGCATCAGCAGAGGGATCCGTGGAGAAGCGTGCCTGCTTCTGTAGCACGTGCCTTCGCATTGCCCGATCCAGAGGTGACGTTGCCTGCTTGGCCTAGCCTTTTCGCACATGCCCTTGTGAGGATGGCACAGTGTCTTGCCCATATGCCTGGGTTCCGGTAGTGGGCCTGCCGAGTTGTGGCTTCGGGTGAAATGGCTGTCAAGCCCTCTCTTGCTGAAAGCTGGGCATTGGTCTTGAAACGTTGATTTCTGGGGCTGCCAGCGTTTTCACTCCAAGTGGAGGGAGCAAATTCGTCCGCGGAGCTCCCCCCAGAAGCCGGGAGGGATCGGCGCCTTCGGGCTTCTGCACTTGCCACCTCGTTAAGCCGCAACTCACCCACTCACCTCTGGAGACTCCATGGGTCTAAGCATCTAAGCGATTCATGAAAGGCTACGGTTTAGGGATGTTTAGGGTGTAGGGTTTGGGGCGCCTTCTACCTCAAAGCCTTCGAGGCAAACAAACTGCCCAAAATGATTCTATAAGCTCGGCCATGCAGAGCCGACACCCGAGCCTACCTTGACCTTGTGAGCTCTGAACTCTGCAGTTTACACCATAAACCCGAAATCTTAACCCCGAAAGTAAGGCCGGTTTCACTCTAGAGAGCCCTTAACGAAGGACCCCTTTGTTTCAAGCTCGGAGACCTGGATGGCGCCACTCCGCCACTCGCCGCCGTTGCGCTCCTCGAAAGCCTTCAATGCCAGGCCTCCACCCAGAGGGGGCGCTTCTGGTTTCGGGGGCCGGTTTCGGGGGCTCTTTAAGGGCATTTGAGGGTTGAGAGGGGCTTGGCGGCTTCGTATTTAGGGGGGGGGCATTGCGCTTTGGGTCTTCTTCGTTTAGGGGTGTTAAGTCTCAGGGTGACCAAGCCTCATCTTCAACCCTCAACCTGAACACTAGACGGAGGGGGGAGTTGGGGGAGTCGGGGGTTCCGCCGTGCGGGATTAGGCCTGGCTTCTGGGCACCAGCCTCGGTGGTAGAGCGCAAAAGCCAGGGAATACTTGCCGGTGGCGCATGCATTCCTTGGTCAGAGAACTCTCGGTACTGGGTAGGGGATTGGGGTTCAAGCTTGCACTTGAATAGTGCAGGTAGTGACTTCGCTGTCGGGCTTTTGCGCATGCGGCCCGGCATGCATCATGGTCTCTAAGCGCTGTCTGCACGAGAACCAACAGCCCGAGCTGCAGCTTATCAAGCAACATGACTCTATGTACGTCCCATTCAGACCCTGTTTTCCTTCACACCTTGACCCTTAAAGCCCCGGCTTCCTCCTTGCACTCTCAATATGAACCTCTTTAATCTCAAACCCGAGCCCTAACAGCCATCAAACACCCTCCTGTCTGGAGCCCGATGCGCCAACATCTCCCCAACCCTGCATCCTCAAACATGAAACTCAAGAATGAAACCCCCTACGAAAAGCGACCCTGAACTGAAACAGCAAACATGAGAAAACCCCAAAAGTGCTAGACCCTCATTCTCTCCGAAAGACGAAGTCCCAACAAGTCCGAACCTCTTTGCGCATTCGGGGGGCCTCAAAGCGGAGGTCACAAAGTCGAGCTTCTTCTTCCTGTGAGTCGGAACACAGCATCGGCTTCTGATGAAAGGAGGTTTTTGGACCCCAACCCCCCAAAACCATCCTGAAAACCCTCATTAGAAGTTCTGAAGAAGTTCTGAAGCCCTCCACCCTGGCCCTCCTGAGTCGCGCATAGGGCTCTGCCAGGAACTCGGGCGTCACGCTAGCCTGTGCCAGCAGACGAGCTTGATGCATAGTTTCAAGGTCCGGGATGAGGGCTGTCCCGCTTCGGTCTTTACTCCAAAGCTCGGAATCTTCCAACCCCGGACTTGAGCAGTGCCTGCGACCACGACCCTTGCGAAACTCATCATGTCGAATGTCCTGCCTCCCTGGCGGCGGTAATCGCCACATGCAGGTCGCGCAGGCTCCTGGCTGAGAGGGTGTCGAGAGTGTTTGGAGCCTTTTCGTTTTGCAGCCCGCCGAGCCCGACGCACTTGCTCGTTCAAGGTTCGAGGGTGACCTCTGTTCGTGCATGTCAGACGAGCTTTTGAGAGGACCATCAGGTCCATCAGGTTCAGAGATCCAAGTAGGCGTTTGTCCACATTTCGGGAAGCTGGTTGCTTCAACGTGGCTTCCCTTGGGCCAGCCATCGAGGCCCGACCGACTGCTGTGCATAGTCGCCAGATGGCTGTTCTTGACATGGCATTTCAGAAACGTATCCAACCAGCCGTAGTACAGATCATGAGTGTCTCATAGCAGTTCAGGCATCAGTGACGCGCAAATATCGGCAGGTTCTACAAGTGACGCAACTTCAACTAGTGGCTCCCGGCTGCGCAGGCAAACCCAACACGACAAACGCACTGAAATCCACTTTGCTCAGAAGACCCGAAGCATTGACCTTGGTCGGCCTGCTTACCAGGGTTCAGGGGTCAGGTCCTAAGATTTACGGGAGCAACGCGCAGGAAAGGGGTTCGGTAAAGGGCTCAGGGTGGAGGTCTTAGGGCTCCGGGGCTTACTCACGAAGGATCAAAAAATCGCACATGATTGCGCTGGCCGTATCCTCGAGCTGCTTCCCGTCTGTGCTCCAACGCCGTTGTAGCAGTGCTGCTGCCGCAGGAGAAGATCCAGTCAACAAAAAGAAAGCTCCAACAAAACCAGAACCTGAATCTGTTGTTAGAATCCAAAGCAATGTCTGCGTCCTTCCGCGCTCGGCCGAGATAGTCACAGCGTTCTGCAGGACCTCCTGTCGCCTTCAACGCCATAGGGTTTGGAGTTTAGCAGCCGGCTTCTGTCAGCTTCAGTCGGGTCGAAGTTTCGTTCAGGGCTCAAATAAGAGCTCGGAGGGTGTCTTTAGGCACCGTGTGCACGTAAAGATCCTTCAGATCACCCCCACCTACCAGCAGGATCCACTTTGGAGGAACACAATCCTACATGGAGCGATGTCTTTTTGGGAGCTTCCGGTTTCGGATGTGCTTACCTTGACCCATTGTGGCAAAATTCTAAACTAGTCAACTAGTCTTACGATTCCTTCATTCTGGGTTTTGTCCACCAGCATCGTGCGGGCACCTCTCTCCCTCCTCCTCCAACAGCACCTGCAGCTCTTCCGCTTCCGGGATGCCTTTCCTTGGCGATCGGGGGTATCGGAGATCTGAGGCAGCCCAAGAGTGGCGCTGTAATTTAGAGACCTTGCCTGCTGGCCGGACACAGCTTGTCGACGAATTACGGAAAGGGTTTGAACCCGCAAGCTCCGTTCTTGGATGCTGCGAGCATCATAACCTTCGTAGTCAAGTCACTTAGCCTCGTCCTGCGCAGACATCTCGCAAGCCTGTCAGTACAGCTAAAGGACTTCATGGGAAGTCACTGTCCAAACAACCCAACACAGGAAATGTGCAAAGTCGATTGCGCCCAAACACAGCTGGGCTTGAACTTTCACACTCATGAAATCACAAGACTCTGCTGCTGCCACTGTCCATTGCTAAAAATCTACGAGGGCTAGCACCTCCTCAAGACCCCAAAGCCCCCTCAACCCTTGAACCCTCCAACCCCCTCCGGAAACCCCCTAAAACCCCCAAATCCCAGCCTTCCTAGGCCCCCAAATCCAAGTGCCTGGATGGCGTGGCCCAAGCGAAGAGTCGAAAGCGACACATCTTCCGGGGACATGGGCATGCCTTAGGCTTTTGTTGGCCTTTCGGGGATTCAGGGTTTCGGGTTTAGAGAAGGTTTAGAGCCTATAGCGCTCAGGATCGATACAAGTGCCTGGCTCTTGGCTCGGGGTTAGCGCTTGTTTTGCGGTGCTTCGGAGGTTCCACCTGGAGGTGTTTCTACGCGAAAACCGGAAAGCCGAAAACCCTGCAATCCAAAACCTCCAGCCCTGCATTGTCTTGCATTCTGAAGCCGAAACCCGAAACTGAGGACAATGCCCGCCAGGATGTCCTTCGCTTCTTTCACTGCCATAACAAAAGAGCGCTCGGCCGCCAAAGCCATGGAAATGTCCTGACATAGGCGTAGTTGGGTTGTTAGCCTTATAAGCAAGTTTAGGAAATGTTCAACCCTCAACCTTTGGGTTGAGGGTTTGGGGTTCAGGGCTTGGGGTCCTGAACCCTAAGCCCTCAGGACCCCTGAACCCTAAGCCCCAAATCCCTCCAAATACGGGCGCGCAAGCCTCTACCTCCTCGATGATGCTCTTCTCCAACCGTGGTTGTAGCACCCGGGCGGCATCTGCTGCATCCTGCTTGGGAGCTTTGAGGGGTTTAGGGCTTAGGGTCTCGGATTCGGACTTTGGACACAAATTAAGGGTTTAGGGTTTAGGGTTTACAGTTTTACGGCTGGGCTTTGGGGCTCTGATGCTAAAGTCTCGACCCTGTGCCCAAACCGAGGTCCCATTGCAGGCAGCTTACCGGGGGCCAATGCCCGCAACAAAATTTCCTAAACCCCAAGCCCTCAACACAACACGAATTGACTCGCCTGTAGCCGCAGGAAGCGGCCCTCGGCCGAAAGCTCCTGGATGTCGTCCGCCTCCTGGCGCAAGGCGCAAGGTCCAGGATCGAAAACGGTTCTCAAAAGGCCAACTACAGGAAACAAAGGGGTTGCAAACAGAAAAGACAATGGTTGAACCCTTAAGGTTGCTACAATAGAACCAACCGTTTGCAAGATTCTTAGGTGAGCCTTAACCCTAAGCCCTATAAACCCTACTGCAAAGCAAGCTTTTGGGGAGTGGGGCTCAAGGCTGTTAAGTTTTCGAGAGCCTGCTTGGCCACCAGCAACTCCAGCTCTGTTTTGGTGTAGCCGAACCATTCCTGGGGTGGCCAGGATTTAGGGTGAGTGCGCGTGTGTGTGGGCGTGTGTTCGCGTGCATGTGCATGTAGGTGTGGGTGTATAAGTGTTGGTGCAGGTGTGCGTGTGTGGGTGCGTGCGCTTGCATTTGTGCGGGCGCGGACATGGGCGTGGGCGGAGTCGTGAGCGCGTGCTCATGCGCAAGTGAGTTCCTAAGGGTCATTCTTCACTAGCTATTAATAAATGTGAGCATCCCTCGATCGTGAAACCCGCAGCCAGCCGAGCCCTAAACCCGTGTTTGTCGCAAGGTCTGGTGGGTGGCTCCGGGCATTGGGGGCAAGGCACCATCCTTCATTGAATGGGTTGCGTTGAGGGGTCGAGTTTAGGAGTTGTTTTTGCTTGTGTTGTCTCCTTCTGTGAACGACACAACTTAAGACGCCTCCTGCAATCAGAGCCATGGTGTCTTGCGGTTGCAAGCATCAGATGATCATACCCTTGCATTCACAACCTCCAACAGGCTGTCGCGCACCAGCCAAAGCCACTACGATAACTACCAGCAAAAAATAGCACGAGCGCGTCAGAAAGCAGCGAATATTTCCCGGTAGCAGAATAAAACTAGTGTTCGTACCTTTTCCCCAAGCCATCTGTTGGGGTTTAACGGTGTGCCACAAGAAACCCTTGCAGATTCTTTCTTGCTTTTCTGATATCTATTTTGGGCTCAAGGCTTGGGAGACCAAAGGCTTCGTTCACGCAAAGCCGGAAAGAAGCACCTGCCCGCATGGACTGACAAGAATCCGGAAACTTCTTCTCCAGCTTGGCAAAGCCTGGCACGTTGAGCCTACGTAGGGCAACCCGAAAACGCCGAAACATTAAGCCTTTTGGTGTTTCTCGGGCATTGCTGGATTGGTCGTCCACTCTGTAGGTCCCTTTCGTATCAGACGTAAACAAGAACAAACAGGCCGAGGCCTTGCAAATTGAAGCCCCCAGCATCCCCAAGCCACAAGCCCTGAACCCTACTACCCTAAAACCCTAGAGACCTAAACCTTGAACCCTAAACCGTAAAGCCGAAGAGAAAGAGGCACAGCCTCGTTCGATGAGCGGCATCGGCGCGCCAGCCAGCCGGGCACGGATCAGGGCGGCCTGAAGCCCAGACTTCTGGGGTTCTGTGATTTGGCGCTTAATGCGCTTAGGGTTTGGGAGGTTTCGGGTGTAGAGTTCTGAGATTCTAGGGTTTTGGGCTCTGGGGTTTTAAGGCTTTTGAAGCTGCGTTCACCAGCTGACTGCGTAGGGTTGGGCGCTCAAGGGCCCTGCCAAATGCAGGGTGTCTCAATCATGTCAGATGAAAAGGCTCAATATTATCGACACAGACTCGGCTCGTGCACAACAAAGTCTGTTTAGGGTTTCAGGCAATGCGGAGCAGGGGTGACAAGAATGTACGACGAAAAGAGCCGAGCATTGCGAGAAATGTCTATAGTTCGTGCAAGCCAATGTGCGCGGACCTTACCTATCCCATGTTGGACGTATACGAAAACAAAAAAACTCACACTACCCAAGAGAGAAAAGTCGTTTCTCTTCTTCAAACGCCCGTGCCTCTCTGTCTCGTGCTGGGACGCCCTGGTCTGCATCAGTTTCCCCTACACAACTGTTCTTCCATCCCTCCGCCCCCACCGCCTCCCCCGCCCGACAGCGCCTTCTTTCCTGTTCCCACGCGGCCGTGTGTCACTTGTGCGTGGACTGGCTGCAACGGCTCCGAAGCCGGCCGCGGCTTTGGTTGTCTTGTTGGCTGGGCTCTGCCGAGGTACGGCCAGGCTGGGCCTAGGGTCTAGGGTTTCGGGCTTCAGGCTTTGGGGCTTTGGGGCTTTGGGGCTTTGGGGCTTTGGGGCTTTGGGGCTTTGGGGCTTTAGGGTTTAGTGCTTTGGGCTTGGTTCAGGGCTTAGGGTTGCGGGCTTTCGGCTTAGACATGTTCAGGGGCTCGGGGCTAGGCTTCTTGAGGGTTTGCGGATTTTTCAGGGAGCATGGTTCCAGAAGTGGGCCCGAGGAATCCAATGCCAGAAACCCTATAACCCGCGCCCAAAACCGCACTCCAACTCCAAAGCCTGAGAATGCGAAACAAACAAACGATCTGTAAACTGGCATTTCTCGGCAGAACCGACCGCCGACCACGGTAAACCTGCTCCCGCTGCAAGATGGGGGCCTTGAGATCCTCACCCGAGCTGTAAATATCCGAGATGGCATCCTCCAACCTTCGTCGAAGAGGGGGGCGCGGGGAGTAGGGAGTTCAGAGTTGGCTGTGGTTGAGCTGTTTAGGGTGTCAAAGCAAATGTGGGGACCCTGGTTAACGAGCTCAGGGAAGGAACTGAGGCCAGACAGCTCAGAACGGAATCACAAAAAATGGGAACCAGAATTGCCTTACAAGATGCTCATTGAACAGGGCTTGAACCCAACATGTGCCTACGTACTACAGCTACGCACATGCACACTTCTTGAGCAGATGCCACGTGGGCTGCATGGGCCCTGCATGAGATACGTTAGACTTTCGTGGGACTTTCGCGGAGCTTGCGCCAATCTCTTTGGCAAAATTTTAGGCTTTCGGAACCGGATTTCCTATACCCTAATCCCTAAACCCTACATCCTCAAACCCTAAACACTAAATAAACTCTAGACGCTAGCTGCGTGTAGCGGGGTCTGACCCAGGCTTTCAGCCAGCTGGGGGTGAGAGACGAGAGCGAGCCTTATGCCGCGGATGCATAGCAAACAAAAAAACAATCCTTTCGCACACCCTCTTCGCAGATCTTTCGCGGACTATTATAAAACCTTGAAATGTAGGCTTTATATACAATTCCTGACAGGGACCTTCTGATCAACACCCATGTCTTGCCCAAAGTACCTCACACCCTAACTCCAAAGCCCTTAAACCCTACAAGTACCACACAGAACGAAGGCCAGGCCGCTCTTCGATTGTACTGGCATAGTCCTTCTGACCTGAGCCCAGCGTTTGGGAGGTTTTGTTTTGGCAGCTAGGGGGGGGGGGGGGGGGGGGGGGTTGGTCTCGGGTCAAGATCCAGCCCTTGGGCATCTCCGCGACAGGATAGACAAGGCTTGGACAGGAACGCCCAACCATCCCCCAAGCCCCAAGCCCCAAGCCCCAAGCCCCAAGCCCCAAAGCCCCCACAGCCCCACACTCTTCCTTCTGAACCCCCCATTGCAAGCTCGAACGTAAGGCAGCCCTCCAGGATCGCCTTGCAAGTGTTCTCTCCCTCTGCGATTTTGGATTTAGTGTTTCTTGGTAGAAAGCACGCCTGGTAAAAAAACACCCGACATCCCGACACAGCTTTCGGCTGCCCAGCTGCACTCCTTAGCCTCTTCCACGAGATCCTCCTTCAGCCCCTTGGGCACCTGCTTGTCAAGATATGTGCACAGAGGTGCTTCGGGTTTGGGACGTGGGGTTCGATGCATCATGGCGGGGGGGGGGGGGACTAGAAGTGGTAGTATGATTGGAACAGTTTGCTTCTTCTAGCATGCTTCGCATTTTTCGCATGTTCCGTAGCATTGTTTTGGTTAGTCTTCTTAATAGTTTCAGTGATTAGTATTCGTGTTCTTGTAGTCGCATTAGTAGTATTGCTCAACAGCCCCTGGTCGCCGAGCGCGGAGCCGAATCGCGCCGAAACCATGCTGCTGCGGCTGCTCCTCCTCCTCCTCCTCCTCCTCCTCCTGCTCCTCTTCCTCTTCCTCCTCTACTACAAACTCTAGAAGCCTTAGTCGTAACATCAGCAGCTCTGCAGCCGGAGTGCGGCTTCATGCTCCTCATCACCGGATGTATGTTTGACGCCATCGCAGCAGGCTCGGAGTACATATGAACGCATATGAATGTTAGGATCTCAGGTGTAGGGGGCTGCTCTCCTCAGGATGCCCATGAGCAAGATGTGTGCGCACGGGGAGGAGCAGCCCCCTCCCCACAAAATCCTAAACAACAAAGTCCAGACTGTGCCACCTGCGCCTCTGCTGCGGCAATCACCTGCGCCGGACAAAAACATCCAGTGCAAAGGTTAAGGGGGGACCGGGCTCTTCGAACATCAAAACCCTATCTTTCGAGGGCGTGAGGGTGGGTCACTTGCCTTTCTAGAGGCCTACTGCATACTCCGCGTGCTGCCAAGCTTGAACTCTCTGGGGCTTGTGAGTGGCTTTGTGGCGTTGGGCTTTTGCAATGGGCTTCCCAACCTTTCGGAGCATGCGACGTGCACCCCAAAACCCTTATAGACGAGCCTCAGACCCCAAAACACCCGCTTGGAACCCTCAGATGCACAGTGCGCCTCCGGCAGCTCCTCCGCATAGCGCTCCACAGCTCCCAAGACTCGCTCGATGTTGGCGGTGGCCAGAGCAACATTAGAGAGGTCCTGGGCTGGGAGAGCTTAGAGAGCTTAGTCTCCTTTTTAGGGTTTGTTCAAGGCTTAGGGTTTAGGTCGTAGTCGCCATCCCTCTTCTGAACTGTTCCGGAGCGCTGTGGGGGCTTCAGAGGTCTTGGGGACATTAGGAAGGGCTGGGACATGCAACAACGCAGGAAATATTCATGAGACTAGGAATCCTGGCCAAGGTCTTATCGAAACCAGGGAGATCATGGAGGCATCTGGGGAGCCAAGGGGAAGAGGGGGGAGCAACAAAGCACAACGCTTGACGTGCTGGGAACGCCCGGCATGGGGGGGGGGGGGAGGTGGGTTGTGGCTGCGGGTTTGAGGGTTTGAGAAATGAGATTATTTTAAGGAGTCTCCCCAGTAGCACCAAGCATGCTGTCGAGCCGCACGGCCGCCAGGCAGCACCAGCTGTAAACCTGCAGGGGCCCGATTCCTGAACCTCAAACCCCGAAACCCTCAATACAGCCGAACATGGCTTCTCCGGTAGGCAGTGGATTGCTGTTTCAGCTTCGGAGTGCTGAAGCTTTCATGTGGTTTCTGTGACCGGGTTGAGCTTCGAGATCCGCCGGTCTGCACCTCTTGCGGTTCATGGGGCTCCCATCCCTCTCCCGAGCCTGCAGAACTTCTCTGTCAGAAAACTTCTTGCTGATTCTGGGCTCATCCGTGTGGTACTGAATGCCGGAAGGGGGGGGGGGGGGGTGGCCTCTCATGTCGCGCTCCAAGGTCCGGATCGCCACATCTGGGACCTGACGACCAAGGTTTTCCGGCTTAACACTGAGGAATGAGGGTCCGGGGTTAGGGTCTACAGTTTAGGGTCGTCGGGCTGACGTCAATCCAACCTCAAGTTTGCCACACTGGGCTCCAAGTCCCCAAGTGATAGACAAAGCATCTTGTGCAAAGAGTTTGCGCGCTCGTGAACAGAAAGACGCAGTGTAACAAAGCTCGACAAAGTCCTTTCACCAGCTGGGGTGGGGCGTTATATACTTCGTCAACGTCTTCGTCCTTGTGAACAGACCCAACAAACCAACAACGTTAGAATTCACCCTAAAACCTGAAACCTTTAACCCTAAACACTGAACCTTGCAACCCTAAACCCATATCTGTAGGGGCTGGAATTGCTCGGCACCTTGTTGTTCCCAGTCTTGGACTTGAAAAGGTCCAAGGCTTCCTGAGGCCCACGGCTGAGTGGCTTTGAAAGGGCAGTTCAGGGCGCTAAGACTCATCGATGAACCACTTTCATGGGGTTCGGCCTTTGGGAAAACGCCCCTGTGTCATCCCGAAATCCCCAACTCCCGCAAGTCCCTCGAAGGCCACTGAGGAATTTCGGGTCAAGTTCCCTAAAGCCTGAAAGCGCCACTACAAAACACTCCGATAAATTCCGCCACGCTCCCCCAACTCACCCTTAAACCCTAAGTGAATACCCAAAATCCCACCCTCCCCCGAAATCTCCGAAGCCCTCAGACAGCCTGGCTCCTCTCCAGGAGCTTCTGCACCTTGCCCACCACCACGTCCAGGCCAGCGGCTTCGTGCACCTTTTTGTCTTTGTTTTTTGCTCTTTCTTTCTTTCCTTCTGGGGGCGTGGGTTTCAAGCCCCCGGGCGTCATCGCCCGTTCGGGGCCACTCGGTGAACGGGAAGCCACTGCGTACAGCTCGTTTTCTTCCACTGACCCCCATGCTCACAACTCGCCCCCCCCGCCACCCTATCGGTATACCAGTTCCCCGAGCTGCACGTTCGACCTCCATAGCATAGGCCCCCCCCAGCTACGGGCCGTCTGTGTGCTTTGCTCTCTCTTTCGCGCTCTCTCTCTCTCTCTCTCCACACGCTAAGCAAAACCTGAGAACTGTTGGAAGCCCGAAAAGCCTGGAACCGTGAAACTCTGGGCCCTAGTTGCGCCTGAACGGCTCCCTGGACCTCCGCCGTCCAAAACCGCAGACGCGCCTCGTCCAGCTTTGGCGTTGGGTTTGGGGATTGGGGTTCAGTATGGTTCAGTGTTCAGGGATTAGGGTGTAGGATGTTAGGACTATCGTTTTTAAGGCTTTCTGCACTCGAGGTTCGGTCGATCGGCTACTTACTAGAATCCAATCCCACTGAAGCCCCAGCACCATGGCCCGATGCATCTGTTGGGGATTCCTAAATTGTCCTAAATTACGGTCCGTGTGTTTTGTACCCTTAAATTTAAGTAAACGTACCGCTTTCTAATGCCCCAAAAGGGACAATCATCTAGGGAACCTACCTAGTCGCCGATGCTAAGCCCCAACCGTCCTGCAGCGACCCGGACCAGAGCATGTCCATCTCCTTGCAGCAAAGAGAGATGATCAACGGATTCAGGATTTTACGATTTATAAAGCTCAAGCGGGGTTCAAGTAAAGCTCAGGGTTTTAGGCTCCTCCTCAACGAAGAAGTGGCTGTGGGCCGTCTGGATTGCTGCTTCCAGGGGAGGCAGGGCTGCGTCCTCCATGGTCTTGTCCTGCCGATATGCCGGACTCGATTCTTGCAGACTTAAAGCCTCCTCACCGGAACTTGCCGGAAGATGCCTTTAGTCATTTTCGTCGCTGTGACTTCACCCGGTGCCACTGGCAGGAACCTCCCTTTTCAGGCTGGTCCGCTCATTACCACATCGAAGGCGATACTGTACGCGTCACCAGCCTTCACAGATACGATCCTTCGCAAATCTTCGGCGTTCGGTGGGGAGCTCGTTATTTTTTTGAGGTGGAGGAGCAATTAAACCCCAAACGCATGCGCAGAAACTCTGAAAACCCCCTAAGCCCTGGCAGGGCTGAGGTCGGGTCCATCATCTTGTTCACCTCGTCCACCATACGAAGTCGTGTGAGCAGCCGTGTCGCTTGCTCGATGCTCTCCTGCGTCGTGGCTTTGAGTGTCAAGGGAACTAAAGGAGTACAAGGAGTCAAGGAGTGCCCATCTTCCAGGAGGTGCCGCTGAAATGTCCATGTACACCTTCCCGAGCCTCGTCGATGCCAGCGGTGCGTGCCAACTCGAGCGAGTCCTCGCGACGAGGCGGCAAGACTCTGAAGCGAGCGGCCCTGAAAGGCTCTAGCCCTAACATGCTCTCGGGTCCCAAGCCCCTAACATGAAGTAGTCTCGTCCCGATACTAGACCGGTTTGCCTTCAGGTAGTCTTCATCCAGGTAGCGCATGGCAAGTTCCTGGGATGGGATGTCCAGAAGCTGTGGGACAAGGTCGTTGGCGTTCCGTTTCCGGGTCTTAGGGTTCAGGATTCAAGGAGCTTCTGGGCGACCTGGCAAGAGCTCAGCAACACGAGAGCAAAACTATCCACCCAACAGTGAAGGTAGTTCCCAATTCGTAAAATCCCAGCAAGTATGCCCAGATGCCAGATCCTGCCTGGCCCGCTTGAGGCGCGACTCCTGACCAAGAAAGCTGGAGATCACACCGCCAACTCTCCACCAGGTTTGTCGTATAGGTAGGGCCTGCCAGTTGGCCAAGGAGTTCCGCGCAGCATCGAGGAAAGCGGCATCGACGCCTTGCTGAGCCACCTGACTGTGATGGAGGTGCCTTTTGTCATGGTAGTCTGGCACCCTGTAAGATTCAAGGATTCAAGGTTTAGGAGTTAGGCTCTGGCAGCCGGTAAACAAAGAGCCCTAATTAGGGCTTCGGTGACTTCGGGAGGCTTGGGTTTGAGATGAGTTAGGAATTTTAGAGGGTTTAGGGGTTCGGGCTGCTTTCTGTAGGCATGGATGACTATTGGGGTTTGGGGTAGTCCTGTGCGCTTCGGACACACCACGGCTTCGTGGTCGAATGCTGAATTAGGCCCCAAAACCGTAGAAAATTGCAGCTTGCATGGTTAGAGGCCTGGAGAAGCCTTAGTGCAAACGCCGGAGAGATTTCCAAATCACTCGATATTTCTGGGAACGTTTGGGCGTAAACTCCTGCGCAACTGCTTTAGGGCTTAGGATTTGGGCTTCGAATCTAGGAGGACACTTAGGGTTCACAGGATTTACGGGTCCCAAGCCCCTCCCTACACTGGTACACCAGAGCTCAGAAACACCTGCTTGTCCTTCCTGCCTCCGCGATGGCGGAGCCCAGCAAGTCTCCAGCCTTGGCAAATTGGAATCGCAGCCATCAGTGCTTGACAGTTTATGCGTTTGGGCTCGTGGTCTGGAGGAAGACTGCAAAGCAAATTGAAAGCTAAACGCCTCTGTCCCACATCTGGCGCCAACCTTGTCACTGATTGTGCGGGTTCGTGTGCGTCTGCGTGCGTGCATGCGTGCATGCGTGCATGCGCGCATGCGTGCATACGTGCGGCTGCGTGCGGGCATGCGTGTGTGCGTGCGTGTGCGCGTTTGTGCTTTCAGCTTGTCTTTCTCCAATATCACCTTCGCATCTATCATCTTCTTCTAGATTGGAAGCATAAGAGGCTCCTCCTCCAAAAGTTACTATCGATGCTGTATGTTCGTATCGCTTCTGCTTGGGGAGCCAGAGCAGGTGAAGAGAGCAAAAACATCCTTGTCTTTCTCCTGTCCTGGTGGCCCGTTCCTTCTCATGACGCTTTGTTCCTCCCTTAACTTGACCTCTGCAAACAAGAGCTAGAACCTCCAACCTGACCCATGCAGCATGTTCCTTCTCACTTCGCCGCGATTCATGTAGCTGCAAGCCTTGACAGTCAGCAACATAGAGCCTATTTACTGAAATTATACAATGGGCTGCAATGGATCTTACGTGTACTATGTTGTACTGGTATAGTCAGAATAGGGGATATTGTTGATAATCTTTAGGTTCCTGTAGCAGCACATTTTCGCAGCTAGTGCAGGGCAGGTGCCGAAACACATGCTACAGAATGGCCCCCTGTGGTACTCTGATCTCAAACAGGACCCATGTTTGGATGAACCCTCATGTGTCACGGACGACGACATCGATTTGTGCTTGGCAGGTTCTCTTGTTATTTCTTCGCCTCGTGCCGTGCGCTGTGTCTTATCCCGTCTTCTCGAAGCCCACAACCCTGAAATCATGGAATCTCCATAGCTTCTAGTTTCCTTGCACCTCACGACCAGATGTTGTACCTTATACGGTTTCAAAGCGAAGGCATCTGCCTCAGGCGCATCCGGGTTGAAGCCACCTTGCACCTCAGTCTGCCACATGGGGAGATCCGAAAGCAGCGGGGTTGAGGGTTGAAAGCTGCATGCAGAGCATTGAGCTTATAGGGCTTAGGGGTTTGCGGGTGCTTGAAGCACTGACCACTAACAACCGTCTACTCAGCGAATCGATTCCCCCGTTGGACAGAATTGAGGGGCTAAGCCCTGAGCCCTCAGCCAAAATCCCTAAACCCGAAACCCGCCACCCTGGCAAAGGGAGCCGCTCACGGAACCCAAAAGCTGCTAAGGGAAGTACTGAATTAAATTCGAATGCGTATTTTGGGTAAAGCGGACATAAGTCTTGTGCGTCGCAAGTGAAACAAAAGTGTTTTTTGTATACTCCATGAATGAAGCTCACGATTCGAATTGTCGCAAAGTCATGGCGTTTGCATTTGTGATGTTGTCACTGCAGTTTCTGGAGCATATGCTCAATCTTTCTGGCATACTTCGGATGCCACTCGACAAGAACGAAACGGACATTTCAGAAACAGTTTCACAGTTTCACAGTTTCTCCGGAGGTTGCTGGGTTCAACAGCATATTGGACGAGTTTTGGTTATCGTTGCTCCAGACAGGAGCGACAATGTATTGCTGTTTAGGCACTTCAAGTAGCTGTAGACGTTGCACCGTGCGCACTGAGTCATGGAGCTTCGTGTATCTGCTCTTTTGGGAGTTTTTTTGTAGTGCGAATACAGTTTTTCTTCGAAGAGGATGATTTGGGTATTTGTTCTTGAACCTGTATCAATCTGCTGCACCTGCATCAGCTGGTGTTGCAAAGTGCTGTCGCAACTAAGAGCAGCATCGCCTGCTTCTTCAGTGCAGCATCGACGAGGCCGTGACTGTATTTGAAGGTTGAAATGCGTGAGCACAGGCTTCACGTGCAGCGTGAACCACACGTTTAGAGAGTTTAGGGTTGAACAAAGCGGGGTTGGGAAAATTATGAACATGTGTGATAGAGCCCTCGATGTTTTTTAGCCAGGCCTGCAAAGGAAGCCTTGAAAACAACACACTGCAAAACAACGACGAGACACTTTCTGGACTGACAAGAACCGAGACCAGTTAAAGCACTCACTTGCTACTTGAGTACTTGCATCATGGAGATATATTAACCCAGCATTGATCAAGCCCGCGACCATTCCGACAGTCACTTGTGGTGAAGTTTTTTGGACATTTGAAACCTCAAGCCCCAAACCGAACAGACCCCCAACCCACGGCGTACCATCGAAAAACCGAAAGGGCAGCCTAAAATTCGGATCAGGATGTGGGGCTATTGGGGTGACACCACCGGCCCCTTCGCGGCTCCACCCCTTTTTTCTCCCGGAACTCTCCTCAACGTCTGACGGCACTGAACTCTAAACCCCTCAAACCCAAACCCTTAAACCCTGAAACCCAATAAACCCAAAATCTCATAGACAGAAGCGAGGCGCCCTTTCCACGGCGCTGGACAGCCGCGCCTCGGCTCTGAGGGCAACGTTGTCCTGGCGAGGAGGCTTAGGCCGTGTAGGGTCTACAGAGTCTACAGATGTCTACAGGGCTTTTAGTCTCAAGGCTTTGGATCAGCATTGGCTTTGAAACTTCGGAGCTTGAGGTTCCTGCCGGAATGTCTCCGCAGAGGTGCTCGATGCTTCGGATCTGGCAATACTCTAAAGGCCCTAGAGGTCCACTTCAACGCTCCTTCTTGTACGGTTCTGATACGATGCACCCACCAGCGCAAGATCACTGCAACCATGAGAACATCTTCTGGCCGTCAGAGCCCCGGTCCTGCTCCCATTGCCGGAGCAAACCCCATGCCTCTCATGGCGGTTTGTTGCGGGAGGTCAGGGGGTGGGCTCATGTGCTGGCTGGCAATCCGAACTACACTCTACTAGGCCTTGAAAGGTTTCGGCCGGTCTTCTTTCTGCGCATGAAAACACGGAGCGCTGAAACTTGAGGTTCCGGCATCGTATCAAGTAGTTAGTAGCAAGGGCCCATCCCAAAATCCCTGAACGCTCAGAAGCAAGAACCTCGAGGACCAAGGGGTTATCCGGTGGCAGGCCGGATCCAGCAATAGCGATACCTTGAAGACATGGAGGCGTCTGCATGGCACTGATGCATTTGATTTAGAACTTGTAGGCTAAGCGACAACTTCTCCACATGTGATTCACAGTCTCGTGTATTTCACATAGTGACATAGTGGCACAACGATGAAGAAGAGGAGCTGCGCTGCCTTACGCAAAGCTTGCTCGCACCAAGTTGCGCATACGCTGCTGCTCAGGCGCACCTGGCACCAAGGCTTAGGATTTTGGATTGTTTTTGGAGGGGAACTCCCTCGGACTCCCTCTACTTGGGATTCGCTGCACTCAGGTCTTCGGCACCCAGAATTCCCTCTGCCCTGAACACTACACTTGACTACGCCCTGTGCCTTCCGGTGTTCCACGGATACTCAAACGCGGGAAGTCCCCCTATCTTGGGCACCCATCCTGAACATCGTAAAACCTCCAAATGCTAGTGCCTCAAGCCCAAAACAACCCTAAACACTGAGGCCCTGAAACACTGCCCCCAAACCTCAAAGCCCGTGAATGCCGTAAAACCCCAAGGCCGAACCCTTCAGAGCAATCCGTGCACGGGGACCTGCGCCGGGCTTCTTGCGGTTGTCCACATGCCTCCGCAGCTCCTCGAAGATGGGGTCTTTGGCATCAAGCTTGCTGGAGACCCGAACGACACAAGCTGCGTAGCCAAAGTGACTTCCAACACCTTTGCAAGAGTTGGAAGATATCTAGGCTCATCTGCCCACTCTCATCCTTGTGACTCCAGATACCGTCCTTGACTGCTTGGAACAGCTCGTCGTGCAAAGCGATTTTGTAGTGGTTCGCCCGCCAGTTTGCAGCCTTTCGTCACTTGAGTACCACAATGAAGCCTAAGATTCAGGGTTAAGACTTTGAGAGGCCTCCTAAAACCCCGCACCCAAGCCAACCCATCAACTCTGCTCGTGCGGCTTGGAGCTGAGGGGTTGGGCCCGGGGTTGGGTTCCTCTTAGCCGCTGGCGATCTCCCTTCCTGCGTGGACGACTTCGCTGCGCACTCCGCAAGCCTGCGTTGGGCTGTAGGACTGTAGGGCCTGCGTTAGATTACCAGCGCAATAGAAGCAGAGCCCTCGCCCCCCACCCCCCCCCCCCCCACCAAGAGGTGCAAGCAGGTCTGCGTTCAAGAACGCTTTACACATGTCGCAAAATCACACAAATCACACAACCCTCGCTGCTTCGTCAAAAGAACGGTGCTCTCCGGAGACCGGGCAGGCAAAACTTCTTCTGACTTCAACATTCCCACCTCGCCAGCTGACAAGGCCTCATCCAAAGCCACATCGTCCTCGCAGGCATGCAGAGCACTCTAAGGGTTTCGACAGGTTTAGACCCTAGACATCCCTGGACCCAAGACATCCTAGACACCAAACCTTCAATCCCAAGCCACAAACCCTAATTTGTGAGTCTCAAGCAGCCCTAAACCCAAGAACCAGGTCCTCTCGCTCATCCTTCATGGCTGCACGAATGCCTCGGTTGACAAAGTCTTTGTTCAAGGCTTGTGTCAACAACTCCATGGGAACCACGCTCAAAACCCTCGACTACCCTCTCAAATCTCCTGAGTCAACTCAACCCGTTAAAGCCAACTCGGCACCCCCCAAAACCCCCTGGCCCTCGACCACTTAAAGCCCTCGGCCCGGAGCACGCAAGCCAAAGCTCCAAAAGGCAGCCAAGCGGTTCCAAGCCCTGGGGTTCTGGCGCTTCTCCGCAGCAAAGCGGAGATTCGACTGGTGCAGCCTCTCCCAGACCTCCGTTTAGGGTCTACCGGTCGACCTGTAGGCTCCAAAATGGTACCCTTTAGGTAGGTTTCAAGGCTCAGAATTCTACTAGAGAGAACCCAAAAACACTACGTCAGAATCTTCAGGTGGGGGTTAGGAGGACGGTTAGGGCTTTAGGGACATGCCGTTGGAACCCGGGGCATCAATCAACTCCTGGAGCTTTCCAAGCAAACAATCAAATTCCTCGCAATTAGCATGGAGAAGGTCCCAGACAAGTTCGGGATTCGATCGCGCACCGTCAGGCGGAGGGGTTTAAGCAGGGTCTAGGAGGCTTATGATTCACAAATCCAGGGCTCGCAGCATGCAGATCTAGGCCAACAGCGCAATCCCAATGAGTGCGAAATGGAACTTGCAAGTGACGAATCAGGGCGGGATGTCTTTGAGCCGCTGGCCATAGACCCTTCCTCGATCATGATGGCCATCTGAGATCGATATGCCTGGCCAGGGTGGGGCGACCTAAACCTGGGGGGTGGGGTAACAATCTAGGTGGGGAACAATGAGTTCGCAGCATCTCGCTGCAAATGAGAAGAAAGAACTTGTCTGGCAAAAGAAAAATAGTTGTGGCTGTGGATATGCCAGAAAGAACTGGTACAGAAAGGAGGGATCGGAACCACTATGGCCAATGAGCTTGTTCACTGTGGGTTTGCGTGTGGTTGGGTCTTGGCTAAAGCCAAAACGGTAAACTTTCGCTAAACTTTTAAGCCTGTGTGGGGCCTGGCAATTCTCCAGCTGCACCGCCAAGGGACCAAGGTCGTACGGCGGATCCTCGGGCAGAATGCAAGAGCTGAATCTGGTGTAGGGCTCAGGTTTTAGGGTTCACCTTAAACTCCGTAAACCTTTTAGAGGATATGAAAGCCTTCAAGGGCACAATGCCAGGCGTAGCAAGGCTTCGGGATGTAGGCCTGAGGGAGCTTAACCCTGAAATTGCCTCGAAAGCCCTTGCCCCGAAAGCTGAAAGCCCCGAAAAATCCTCAGCCATTTGGACTCCCTGAAGCCTCAACTCCTCTTGGCTGCGAGGCGAGGGTAACCCTTCTCCATGAACCCTTAGGGTTTAGGACCGAAGAGCAAGAAAAAACAATTGAATGCGCGTCCTGGATGCCAAAGTTGCTGAACTCGCCGTTCTCGTCCTGATACCTAGCCTCCGTGAATGACTCAGCTTGTGGGGTTTGCTGTTTGCTCGTCTCTACGGGGCCCCGAGCCCTGCAACAGTGAACCCGACGACATCCTAAAGCCCTAAAGAGGCCCTAAACTCCCAACCCCGAATTCGCAGTCTCCCTCTCCATCTCTCTCTATTCTCTGTCACTCTATCGGCCTCCTGTTCCAGCATGAAATCCAGGACCTGGGCAAATTGCACGAGATGCACAAAAGGCGGGCCGAAGCAGCCCGGCGGCATCTGCAACCCTAGTCGACTCCTACCGTATACCCTGCACCCCTAAGTGATGAAGCCTGTGCCCAACTCTAACCTCTACATCCTGGGCATCCTTAAAACGCCAACACCACCACCCCAACACCCTACCTCCACAACCGGGCCCCTCACACTCTGCAGCTCTTCACGCGCATCGGTACAGGCGCGCCACCAGCGCCAGAGCTCCTCCCCCACTGAGGGAGCTTTAGGGTATAGGGTTTAGGTTCAGGGGCTTCCGGCTTTGGATCGTGCTGCCCTGCCTCCGAACGTTTGGCCTTTGGAGCGTATACATGGCCAGACAGGGAGACAGAAAGACTGACAAATAGACGGACAAACGGTCGGACAGGTAGTAGATAGACAAGTATGCATATGCATGTTTACATACACATGACGTGAGTATAGCATAGTATGCGGTGTACGTTCAGCAAACCTGAAAAAAAGGAGGTATATCATCTGAGGGTCCTTCAGAGCACTCGCTTTGTCAAGGAGTTCCTGACCTGCCATGGACTGGCGGACCACCTTCGATGAGTTCCTTGGACCAATGGGGGATTTCGGTTTAGGGCTTAGGGGCACCGAATGTGAACTTCAGGGAACGTCTTGTCCTTTCATTTGACCAAAGGTTAGGGTATGTAGGGTTACTACGGTGAGAACTGCTTTGATGCTCGAACGAATGAAGCCGCTTCTTCTCATGTGCCTCTGGTTAGTGAGTGTACTGCATCATCGCCCGTGGGTAAGAGTGTACTGAGCTTCCAGCTCCAATCCCCATGGAACGTTTGTGGTTTGGGTGTTTGGGCCCAAGGTTGAGGGCGCAAAGGGAATCCCGAAACACAAACGTATGTGGAGCACACAGTTTGCCGTGTCTCAGGACCCGACACAAAGTTGTCGATGGCCTCAATCTGCTCAACCCCTGAACCCCAACCTCCAAGCTGCTAAGCCACCAACCCTGACCCACCTCCAACCCTAGACTCCAAACCTCTAATTGAAAGCAATAGCAAGAATGGCAGTAGTAGTAGCAAGAAGCAGAGTAGCATTGATTTTACAAGCTTCAACAACTGCTTTTCATCCTGTGGATAATAACAGCAAAGGCAACTTTTTGTTGCCCTCCAGAATCTACCACTACGACATGCGACAAATCATCAAACAAGTCCAGATGCGCATCACAGCATCCAGGGTCTACGAAGTACAGAGAAAGTAGTCCCAGACAGAACCGCATCGAGGGTCTGCTCGCGTTACAGTCTCAAACGGTCGTCACAGCTTCCAGAGTCTGCCAACTGAACAAAGGGAGACAAATGGAGACGACAGTCCCGGACACGCGTCACAGCATCAAGTGCTGAGGCATCCGGGAGTGGGAGACTTATGCCTAAAGGGAGAGGACGAGAGGTCACAAAGGCAGAGGGACCTGAAGCGCCCAACGATTGTGTGCCGAAGGCAAAAACGCTGTTAATACCAATGTTTTGGCATGTGCACAAAGGCATGAAGGCTCGTGACAGCGTGTGTTGTTCCAGCAACGTCAAATATCCTTGTCAAGTATGTTGTGCAAAGAGCAAAAACGCCCAGAGCCCGTTTCCCGAAGCTCCACAGCCCTAACCCCTCGACCTCAGGTGACTCAGGTGCGCAGGGGGCCAGGCCCGTTCCAGCTGATCTTCGTCCATCGCTGCATCTGCAAGCGCCTCAGCAACGTGGAACCCTCACCGCAGCACCCTACAACCCCAACAGCCTTACAACCCCATTATGACCACAACCCAACCCCCTGCAACCCGAAACCTCGAAATTAAGGTTGCCCCACCTTGCGCAGCTCGATGAGAGCGATCCTGGGTGAGAGCTTAGGCTACGAACAAGGGTGCAGGGTTTAGGCATTAGGGTTTGGGCGGTTTGGGGGTTTGGGACTAGGGTGCTTAAGATCTCAACCTGTAGGGGGCCCTCAGCGCCACACTCGTCACTGGTCGTTGGCATATCCTCCGGCACGACGGAGTCCCTTGCATGGCGCAGGGTTCCAGAGCTCTAGGGCTCTAAGGTGCTAGGTTTAGGTTCAAGAGTTTAAGAAAGATGACCCGATTGGACGACACCCTGTGCCGAAGGCACAAGAAACCTGACTCAAGGCTTTTGGATGCCGCTGTCGTTTCAATAGAACTTGCCCAGCCCTCGCAGACATCTGCTTCACACGTTGTCAACGAAAGGTCACCCCAGATAATGGCAGCGAGCATCGGTAAACTAAAGCTCGAACCAATCGTCAATGGAAGCTTGAATGGCCTCAAGTATCAAGTTTGGGGTTTCGATCGAAATCATCGCTTCCAACAATCATGCCTCGAGGAAGCACCATGCATCCTGAAGTACGTGCTGAAACCTGACTTGAATCCACAACAAAATCCTAAATCTGTAAACTACAGAACCTGAAAACGCTAAACACTATATAACCCTAAACCCGCATTTGGGCTTAAGGCTGAGGATTTGGGAGGACCTGCCTGTGCTTGGGGACCTCATCAACCGAGACAGATCCCTCCGCCACGCTGAGGGCAGGGTCAGCCTAGAGCTCCCAGAAACGCAACGCAGGGAACTTCTGGGGTTTGGGGATGTTTCGGGTTCAGCCCAGGGCGAGAAACCGTAGAGCCCGAACGGCCATCGCAACAACATGCAACAACCATTGCTGGGCTAGGAACCTTCTTGTACATTGCCTTGTGTCTTGGCCTGAGCAATCCTGCATTCATTCTCGCGATTGCTCTGGTCACGGTCGTTACGATGATGATGGCTCTTTTGACATTACTTTGCCATAGGCGTGCTACCGTGAGTACTCTCCTTACGATAACGTGTTTGTGCAAGGAAAACATGCTTTGAGTTTCACACCAACAAGACGGAGTTGATGCGGCAGTCCAGGAGGATTCGGCGATCTGCTTCCTCCGCATCGGCTTCGGCCTAAACCTACTGGCAACGGAGACGGAGGCTGAAGACGACGCAGAAATGGCAATCGCACTCCCTGCATTGCTTGGCGGGAGTCGACTTGGTGATGAGCACGCAAACCGTTCTAAATCAAGACAACCAAACTTCGATCCCCAAACCATCCTGGACCAGGCCCTCATTCACCATCACAATGGCGCTGTCGGAAAGCATCTGCAAAGCAAACGATTTTGGACTGGGCGGGAGGACTTCTTACATACAAAAGTATATTATATATATATATACACATATTATACGACTAGATGGTTATCCTCCACTCCGAAGCCTTACGCCCTTTTTAGGGGAGAGGCGTTTGGGAAGGCAGCCTTTTTCATTTGTCGCTTCCTCTTAAGAGTTCCAGCAAAGGCCTCTGAGAAGATGTCCAGCGCCCTTTGGAGCTCATCCCCATCCTGCGGTAGCTGGGGGCTTCAGGGTTTCGGGCTAAGGCTTGGCGGGCTTAAGGTTTGGGACATTTAGGAGTTACGAAATGTGCGCAATGATACGGTCCTTGGGTGCATGGAATTGGCAAGCAACATGGCCATACTATATACATTTCCAGACTCCGAACGCCTCAGAATGCATCAACTTGCCCTCGTCTCCCGGGCCCATGCTCCAAACAAAAAGACTCAAATTCCTGAAGCTCTGCGGCACGAAGGCTGGTGCGCGCGTCTTGTGCCAGAAACGTTGAAAAAACATCATTGCGCCGTTTGTTGCCGTATGTTGTACAAAGCGGCGAAAACGCTGTGTGCGCATGCTAACAAAAGACACGAACGCTTGTCTTCTGGTGCTGTAAAAAACCAGGGAGAACGCTGTAAATGCCGGTGTTTGGGCAAGGGTCACCATATGAACGGACGTTGTTACCCCCCTCCCCACACCCGGCCACACTCGACACTCACCCAAGAAAAGCCAAACCCAGACTAACATCCCGCGGTTCAGCTACATGGTGCACGGGCCATAGAAAGCCGTAATGGTTCCAGCACATGTCAGACTGTTGAAAAGGTGGGCTTTGTCCCACGCCTACCAGGTTCTTGCATGTTGAGACTGAGAGGCTTTGCTAAAGAGAAACCCGTTGCTTTCAAGTGGCTCCAAGCGAGTTCGAAAAAGGCATTCGACGAGGGCTCCAAACTCAAAAGTCGGAAACTGGAAATCCCATGTCTGCACTTCGGGTCCGCAAAGTCAGGAATTCGGGTGCACTGCAATCCCCGGTCACCCCCTGATACTCCTGAAACTACTACCCCACCCCTCCGTAATACTTCTTGGAATTAAGGCTCCAACTGCCGACTGTACCCAAACATACTTGAGTCGTGTCATAGTAAGCCGATAGTAGGTTCTCCTAGTTTTCGGAAACCCCCTTCAGACAAAGAGAGAGAGAGAGAGGCCTCTAAACCCTGAGCCGAAACATAACGAACTGTCCCGCTCCACCATGCGAGCACAGAGGGTGCCCTCAGCTTGGCTGTAGAGCACATGCCAGTCGAATTCCTGGGTTGAGGCTTAATAACTTAAGCCGGCTCCAAGTGGCTAGCAAGTGTCCCTGGACCTTCCAGGCTTCAGGGGCTAAGGGATTAAGGAGTTTGGGGTTCTCTGGTGAAGGGCCCAAGTGATTTGGGTTTAAGGACTTAAGGCAGCTGGACGTCGAACTAGCACCCCCACACAAGCAGGAGGCGTGTGCATGGGGCATGGGGGTGGGGGCCCGTCTTTGGCACTTACTGTTCGCTGTACAACTTTTCATGGTCAGAACGAAGACCTAAAACGGGCGCAGAAGGACAGACGAACCACATATCCCAGCAAAAACTGCTTCAATCCAATGAACTTGTGCCCACCAACCGCAAGCTTCAAAGGCCGCCACCCAAAGATCCCCCAAACGTCTGAAATATAATGGGGTTTTGGGATACGCCCTCAAGTCTCTACCAAAGAGCACCGGGATGGAACGGAAAGCCTCACAAACCCTTGAGCTTCTACTCACAAAAGCCAAACACATTGCGCCACAGTCCGACAATCAAAATCTCACTTCCACACATATGGCCTTAAATATACGAAATATACGAAATATACATATACCCTCGACATTGAAAACCCCCCCAAAAAGCGGGTTCTACTTTAAAACCAGGTTCTGGAAACCAAAACCGGGTTCTGTACGGCCAAGACAAAGCCGACGGTTTTTTATGGGATCCCGACGGTTTTTTATGGGTTTTCCGACGGGTATTTACGGGTTCTATACGTCACATCTTGAAAGAACCCGGTTCTGTTTGTCAGAACCAGGTTTTTGACAAAATCTTCCGGAAAACCCGGTTTTGGGTTCCTGACCCACTTTTTTCTGGGTTCTGGGCGCCCAAGGTATATATATATATATATATATGTATAAGATGCAATGGGCCTCCACATCCTTGGAGGCATCGACGTCCAGGCAGTGGAGCTCGAAGATCTTTGCCTTCACCCCAAACCTCTAAAAACACCAAACCGAAGGCCCCCGAGACCCAAGAGACCCAAGACACCCAGCCTCGGGCGAATCCTCGTAGCTGGTGTTGCCGCCGCAGTGGCGGTCCACAGTCATGATCAGCCTTTCGATTTCAACAGGTCGGGGCTGCAGTTGCCGCTGAGCGCATATTTCAAATGGCATAGGGCTCCTGCAAATCAAGACTTTTCAGGGTCCTGTGCTCGATTTTGTTGGCTTCATTTGGCTTCCTCTTCCTCTCTGCGACTTCAACTGCTTCAGAATAGCTAGTACCGCCGATGCCAAAGTAGAACCCTGTCCTTCAACAACCTTTTGGATGCCATATGATGACTTGCACGGCAGGCGTTGCAAGCCTTCAAAGGAATCTGCTGAGGTTGTCACTTCTTGGGTTTCCGCCGCATCTCATACAGCATGACCTCTTCGACACGTCGACGACGTGTGGAGGGAGGGGGAAGGACAGGGAGGGAGGGAGGGGGCGAGGGAGAGAGAGAGAGGATTGCTAGCGACTTCAGCGAGGGTTCTTAGAACTGCGCAACATCGTGTTTGGGAAGAAAATGGACAAGCCCTTAGCACTGAACCAACCTGCGGGTTTGCTGGGAGGTGCTGTCGGCTCCAGGCTTGAGGGTCGAAGAGTCGAAGAGGAAATGAAGACTGGTTCACAGGATCGGGGAATCAAGGGGTGCAGTGAAGCCTACCCTTGTCGGAGAGTTCTGCACGGCAGTACTTCGCTACCAGTCGCTGCTCCAACCCCGCTCCTGCACTCCTCCCACCAAAAACAAGCGCCAGTCCGCCTGAGCTCCCTGGAAGCCATTCACCTTCTTGATGACCTGGCAGAAGAGTTCGATCCCTGATGATGCTTTGAAGAGTTTTCTCGGAGGGGCAAGAGGGGTTTGAGAAAGAAAGAAAGAACAAAAGAAAGAAAGAAAGATAGATAGATAGATAGCGAGAAAGAAAGAAAGATGGATAGACAGATAGGTACTACACAAGACAGGTTCGTATTATACACTCTGAAACAGATGCTGCGTTTGGGAAAGCATATGGAAAAATCTATGCTATACTGGTATAACATATGTTTACGCTGTATCTCGCAATGAACGCCAAACTCTGCCCGCAACTCAGAGCCCTGGACCCTCAAGGTTTCCAGGCCCCGCACGTCTCCCGGCTGAAGTGCATAACTCATCTCAAACCCATGCAGTTCGAAGGGCTCCTTCGCTTCGTGTCGCATTTAGTCTATGGTGGTGCAACGTTTGGCGTTTCAAGGCTTGAAGATTAGGGCTTCCGGGGTGAGCCTCTGCAAAGTCTCTGGGACTTGTGGGCAGACTTGGTTTGCAACAAAGGCTAGGGCGGCTGGGATTGGCTCCCAAAGCGCGATACACAGTTCCCCCGATACACTGTGGTCTCGGGGCCTTCACCGCAGCAGCCAAGCGGGCCAACGTAAAACAACCCTTTTTGCGCAAGCATCCACGGCATCACGTCGCATAAGCGCCGCCGGACGACTTGCACAACCTGCCAAGACGAGAACCTCAGACGTCTCACAGTGATGCGCATACGGACGCTCATTCTGGCTTTGGCCTCAAGTTTGTTAATCTTTGCACATCGAAAGCACGAGGTCCTGCTTCGAATTCCACTCGTCCACAGGAGAGCCGGGGATCACCTGCCAGTGCCCCCTTCACAGGAACGGGAGTCCCATCTTGCGATCATGTCCACTAGCCTATAGTTACTATAGTTTCTAGGTTTATTGGCAAAATTGCGCAAAGGCAGAATCTGGATCTCGGATGTACGGCTGTACACTACAAGCCAACTTCGACTGAGCCTTCTCTACCATCAGCAGCTTCATGGAGGTGTCCGCCGGCTCTACAACGAGACCCTCGTTGCCATCCACACAGATCTGGCCAGGCAAGCATGCAACTTGTGGCTGGGAGTCCGGGAGCCAATGCTCAACATGATCACTTGCCTGAACCATTCTGAATCCTGAAATCGAAAACCCCCAAAGCCCTAAACATGCCTAAGCCCCCAAACCGAAAACTACTTGTAAACCCTCAAGAACCTCCCGAGCAGACCTCCCTCCTCAGCCAGCGCTCCGAGCAAAGCAAGTCTCGCGGACCCGGGCCTCAGCCATCGGCACAGTTTTGTCTGCAATGGTTCCAGGGGGGACGGCGTCCCTACCGCCATTCGGAAATCATCATCTGAAGCAATGAGACGGCAAAACATTTAACCACGAGCCCTAAGACCCAACCGCTGAATTTACCCTCAACCCTGAACTCCCCTCGTGAACCTCAAGGCCTCGGGCGCAGTGTCACGGGCGACGAGGCGCCAGGAATGAGCTGCCAGTACCAATTCACCAAGGTGTAAAGTTGAGGGTGGGAGGCGTATCGCTTTATTCCCGAATGTAGCAGAAAGGTTCCCATATCGAGCTTGCGGGCCAGGCATGTAAAGAAGCGTTCAAAAGCGTCCGCAAGCGCGCTCGCGGTGTCACGTGGGAGCTCATCTTGCGGAAGCCACCCACATTCGAGCACTGTTTGTGTCACGGAAGTGTCAACCATCACAGGAATCGCACCTGTCGGGGTCACGATCCTGGCAACTGTCGTCGTTTACAGTGCCTGACCTTGTCTTCGCTCGTCACTGAGTGCCTAGAGTCTAGTTAGAGTTCTTCTTCGGCCGAGGGCTACAAAGAACAGCTGTTCCAAACATTGTGGGGGCTCCATCCCGAGTTCACAGATGACAAGGCGGGCGAACCGAAAACACCTCAAAAACCACCTCAAACCCAACGACATTCAAAGTCCGCACCCCCAAGACTTGCAACAGCCTTGGATGGGCAGGCAAAGCGAGGTCTCTGAGACCAGTCATCCTCTTCTGGGTCCTGTGGCTGTGGGAACCAGAACGGGAACCACACGCACAGCCGCACATGCATGACGAGAGTAGGAAGCAGTGGAATCATGACAGGCGCAACAAAGCTTTGGTGGCTCTAGTCGTCGGAAAACATGCCAAAAAACAAAGAGCCGGTCAAGGCCCAGCACAGCGTCGCTGACTTTCGCTGAGGCGGAGATGCTGACGGCCCTGGCGATCTGAGGTTTTCGGAGGGTTGTTCCACTACACTCCGAAACCCCGAAGCCTACTAAACCCCACAAAAAACCCCTACTATAAAAACCCTAGAGGGATGAGGCTGGACTGCCATGCAAGCGCCTGGAGAGGTCAGAGAAGGCAGACCAGCCGCGGTCGGTTAGCACCGCTATGCCTTGTGAAGGAGATCAGCTGGCGAACTTTTTGGGGTTTGAGCTGAATTTCGCACCAACCCTTCGTGAGTGCTGAAGGCGGCAAATGCCAATTAACATGGTGAAGGAGAATCATTGCAGTGGTATCAGGACGGGCTTCGGATGCAGAGCCTTCCTATTCATCACCAGGGGGTTTAGGGCTTCGGATTTTCACGTGCTTTCGGAAGACTTCGGAGAGTGTCGACGGGGGTTGGCAGAACTTGGCCCATGATCATCTTTGAACCCCGAAATTCTTCAACTAAGGCATCCCCAAGCTGCTTCTCCTTGAGGACCCACTGCTCCACGCATCCAAACCTCATGATTAAAAAGAAACCAAGCCCAGACCCTGAAGGGCCAGAACTCCTTGAAAGCGCCAAAGCTAAGCACACTGCACGCTGCATAAGGCCGGCCATAGGCAAGGCCTTCCGACCTGCAGTCGGATTGGGGTTGAAGCTTTAGGGGTTTAGCAGTTCTGGGTTATCAAGGCTTCAAGGGGGTTGTGTGGAGGGTTCAGGGTTTCGGGCTGTAGGATTTGAGGAAAAAGCCTTGCCATACAACCTGGGCTTGGGAGCAGGCTTTAGTCATTTACGCACAAGGCCTCTCAGACAGGGTTTAGCATGTTTCGTGTTTCGTAATCGGCTCTCTGAATACCTTGAAGCGCTGTAATTTAGCCCCAAAGCTAAAGAACCTGGCCCCGGCAGTCACAAGCCCAGAACCTGGCCGGCCGAACCAACCCTTAGAACCCAGACGCCCCCTACATTAGACTTGCGTTCAGACTTGGTCCGGGCGGCACGTAGATGGTGCAGAGGTCTGGCTTAGCCACGGCCACATCTGCACCCTCCAGCGCCAGCGACCTACGAAACCCAACAGTGCACCTCTGCTGTCCAGAGTGTGGAAGCTGCATATTCACAACTTGCTCAGGGCTCTCGGCGAAAGGCGCTGTGACAAACCAATTGTCTGCCCGATTTAGCTTTAGAGACCCTGGTTCGTCAGCTTCCGTCTTTCTTCGCTCCGCTCCACACCTCGCTGCGTAGGTCACGCCGTCCACGACGAGCCTGTGGTGTTTGGGATTCCGAGCTGCGCAATCACAGGGTCCCCAAACGTACCCAAAGGACACCTCCAATATTCCCAGCTTTAGACCATAGCCTTTTGGAAATGCCAGTTTGGGTGGAGGTTACCATGAAGTCAACGTCTCAGCTTTGGGGCTAAGCTTGAGACATGATTTTCTTCGGTCAGCGATGGAGGTGGACCGAGTGAGAGCCTGTGACTTTGGCTATTGCTACCAGACAATGTCTGCGAAGTATGTGCTGCCAAGTCCTAACGGTCCTAAACCTCAAACTCCTCAAACCTAAACCCCAAAGCCCTAAACCGCAACATTTCACCAGAGGCCATGGCCAAATCTCATGGTCCATGTCCACGACGGCAATCGCCCATCCCCAGACCTGTCTGCACAACCCAACCCTTTCCTGGACGAGATCCTATGACATGGCCCTCAGTGAGGGTTTAGAGCAGTTTAGCAGCTTAGTGCAGATGAGGATGAGGGGGCGCCCTAGGGGCCTATCAGTTCCTACACTCCATGGTTTCACTGTCCTGCCTGCTTGTAAGGTTCCAAGGCGCTTGGATGATCCCAAGAGACAACGAGGGCAGACTGCGTGTCCCACACCTCGCGACAGAATGTACACAATCTGACAGAATAGTACTAGGGCTTGCAGGCAACGGACCATACATGAACCCAAAAAAACAAGGCGCAAAGAGTATCCTGTTGAAGCCCAATGTTCATGCAATGCGGCGGCTTAAGGTCTACTACAGACCTCCTCACATCCTTCAAGTGCGAAAAACAAAACGCCAAACCCCCCGACAGCAACAAACATGTCCAGGTCTCAGTATTCATCCTACACATAATACAATGGCCCAAATCCGGGTGCCAACGTGGGTTCTACAAATTCCGAGGGATGAAACCCAGTAAGAATTGAGGGTTTCGGATTCGAGTTTCTTGGGGTGTGCTCCCATTTTGGGAGAATCCACGCCATGAACCCTGAACCCTGAACCCTGAACCACAAAACCCACCGAAAACCCACCTGGCCTCAAGCCTCGGCCTGACAGGTGCCGCAGGGCGAGCTGACGGGCGCATGAACCTGGGGTTCTCAAACTCTTTGGAGCTTAGGGATCTTTAGGGTTTGTAGTGCTTTTGGAGGGTTTAGCGTTGCAACGTTTGCTAAACCAAGCCTGGCACGGTTGGAGGTTGAGTTGCACTTGCAAAACAGAGACCTTACCCCTGAACCCTAATGAAGGCCGAAGCCAAGCAGCTCCTGTGGATTCATTTTATGATCGTATTCTTACGCAGCGGGGCAGGGAGGACAACAAAACCCACAACCAAGGTCTGCCCCTCCACCTCGTTGACCTCAACCAGACAAGCCGTCTGAAACCCAAGCTTCTCTAAGCCTTAAACTTTGCCCTAAACTTCTTTTGAACCGAGCCGCACAACTTCCCAACCTCACATCCTACCTATCAAGCCTGCATAAGACTCCCCGAAGCCCCTCCACCCGTCAAAACCCTCGTAGTCTTCCCATCCCCCTCCGCGAAAGATCCAAGAGCCCCGGCCCTCAACCCCTCAACTCCGGAAACCCCCTAGACTCTCCAGTCTGCCACCCCCCAAAAGGCGAGAACGAAGAAAACACAAGCCGCACCGAACGATGGTGAGGGAAGGTGATGCTGCCCATCACAGTTTGGGACTTCGCTGCGGGTCTTTAGGTCCAGCACCTAGGTACAGTACCTTGGGTAAAGGTGGACAATGTTGGTATCTCCTCGTCTCAGGGCTTGGGCCCTCAAACGGTCCAAAAGCCCTCAGACAAAACCCTTTCAGCCCTTCCTCAACCCTTCAAAAGCCTGATTTCTGAGTCTGAGCAGGGCTGGGGGGGGGGGGGGCTGTTTTGCATGGTTTCCAGATAATGGCCAAGGAACTCCAGCACCAGACGCCTCTCCAGCCCCGGTTTCTCGGCCTCCTCAAGGTTGGCAGCCTTGCAGAATCAGGGCTCATGGGCCTTTCGTGTTCAGGTTAGAGCGGTTGAGGAATGCGGGTTTAAGGATGGCAGGGGTCTCGGGGTTGATGGCTGGGGTTGTAACCCCCAACCCCCTCGAACAACGGGACAGCCCGAGGGCCGCAGGAGAAGCTGCAAGCTTGTCCTATCCCACATATAATCATGCGATGCGATGAGCTCTAAGGCAGCACAATCATGCATGATTGTGAAAAGCAGGGGAATGCCCTGGTGGGTAAGCGAATGCCTCTGGCGCTCTCCATGCTTAAGCCGTTGCTCATGACTTTTTTTGGAGACCTCTAGCAGGTCGAAGTTGCCTGATGCACGCTAGTGTTGCCGATACCTGCTCCCACGAAACTCCACGACAAAAGGATACCAAGCAAAAATTTAGGATTGCCAAGGTATGCAAGATCCCCAGCAAGCCCGCCTGCTCACTGTCAGCAAGACACACCTTTGCAATGGAGCATCTGATTTGGCGAGCTTCTATCCTCTAATAACTCGAATACACCCTCGACCTTGAGTTTGTCTCAACTCGGGGCGGATCCAGGGGCATTTCCAAATCAAGTCTGGTCGCATCCAACAAAGAGATTCCCCCTACACCCAAGACAGCATGCAGGACCAATGAAACTCCAATGCAAGTCCCGCCTCCTGTTCGTAGTAGGCCCAGCGACCGTCTGTTTTGACCAAGCGGTCGCCTCAGTCCCATTTTGGACGAAGGGGGGAGCTCAGGGGCAGAGGGACTTCAAAGTGAGCCATCACGCTGCCCTCTAAAAACTTCGAAGCGACAGCACGAAAACCCCGAATCCCATAACCCTAAAATCTGATACACACTTGTCCCTAAACCCTATGTCGCTTACTGGGATTCGGTGCCCCCCCACCCTCGCTTGAGGACACTCGGGCCCATGAAGCTCAAGCCAAACCTTGCGTAGACTCAAACCGAAACCGAAAACTATCAGCATACTGTAAACCGTAATACTCTGTAACCGCCAGCCACGCTCCGGGTCCACCCCGGGCATCGGGTCCACCCCAAGAAACACGATGTTTGGAGACTCGGGTGAATGAACCGATCCTGAAAATTCCACCACGCAATGGTGTGGTGCAGCGTGCACCAATGTTCACGTTCTCTGTCAACCAGGACGCTCAAAGCCTGAAAAAAGGGACGAAGAGACCAGCGGCCCCGATCAAGGCCCTGGACCACTCTTTCCAGACCAGCCAACACCCTTTAGCATGTCGTAGCCCCTTCACTCCTGTGGCTTCGGGCTTAAGGGTGGGCTGAGAGAGGGCGGGCTTGTGGGGCTTAGGGGGCTGAGGGGGCTTTGGTGAGGGCCGGGCCGGGCTGTACCACGAGGTCGGGCCGGCCAATGACCGTCTGCCAAACCTCGCCAAATAGGGCCAACTGTACCCTGAGCCGCCTACTCCCCAAACCCGCCAAAACCCCGAATCCACGGAACCCACATTTTGGTGCAGTTTCAAGAAAGTAGTCATGCACTGCGGTTGGTGTCGATGCGGTCCACAAGTATTGTCTTAAGCAGGCCGTGAAATTAAATGGGTGGTCCAAACTTGAAACCCAGGCTGCACCTTAGAACGGACGCGCCCGTGCTGCTTTGCACACAAGCTCCTGCAGTACTACACTTTACTACACCTCAGGCTTGGTCTGGAGCGCAGAGCCTGCAACTTGCTAAACTTGACTAGACGCCAAACCCTGTGAAGCCTTAAACCCGTGTAAGGCTTTGGGCTTGAGACCCTAAAGCTGATAGGCCCTAAAATGCGCAGGGATTCGTGTTTGGGAATGTGGTTTTGGGGTTTAAGGGGGTTTAAGGGGTTCGCAGAATGATTTGCTCGGCTGCCGAGGTAGCGACGTTCCAGCGATCCAGAGGCGACTTCGCCCGGATCTCGCGCAGGACACGGGCGCCCGTGTCGTCAAAAGGCCTCGATCCCATGAGAGTTTGACGAGGGCTGGGAGTTTCGCCCTGCAACACCAATGCAGCTCATAAGGTTTGGGCACCTTCAGAAGCCACGACCGAAAAGCCCATCTTTCTACCAGAGAACGACAAAACCTCCGTGAATCCGGGAGACCCTCTTGGCGACCCGGCTCTTCGTGCCACTCGTACCCCCACGGGACCAGGACACTTGGGCGCGTGAGCACCACACGAAAGGCTCGCCTGGATCAAAAAGGACTCCGGGCCATCATGATCGTCATGTAATAAAACATTATCTGGTGGTAATGTAATAGAATGTCATATAACAGAATTCTACAATGTAGCGCAATGTACAATTGTGGAATGATCATGTGCAAGTCGGTCTGTTTGTCCAATGTATGGCATCATGCCCATCTTCGGTTCTTGTCTTGCCGGGTACCACTGCCAGCAATCACCCACGACCTTTGCATGCTCCCGGGAAGCAACAAAAGGACCCCGCACCTTGGTCCACTCCTCCCGATGCACTGCTAGAAACCAGACTTTCTGCCAGGCCCTCCAGGCCCTCCGGCATAAAGTTGGTGACCGCACCAGGCGGCGCACGGGCATTCCTGGAGAATTCGTGCTAAGGGCTGAAGGGACACCGAGGTCCCAGGTCATTGGTGTTGCAGTTCAAAGCTTCAGGCTTAGGATTAGGGTGCTGCGGCTTCATACGCAGTACATGGCCGCCAGATGCATTGTTTCATGGTCTGGACAACAGCTGCAGAGCATGCTTGCACAACTGTCTTTTGAAGGGACTTCTCCGCAGATGCCTGATCCTTGTTCCCCTCTTTGTGGGCCACGGAGCTGCAAACTCCTTTGGAGTATGCCTCTCGCAAAACATGCAATATCGGCTACACTTGTGCGTCGCCGCCCTTGCGAGCCACAAGAGCTCCGTGACGGACCAAGCGCACGAACCAGCAGCAGCCGCCGCACAAAGAAAAGGCGACCAAGAATGCTGCGATCGACCAAACTGCAGCCAGCCAGAGATCGGCTCGACATGCGGATTGAGCAGTGATGCCTGTTGGCGGAAAACGGCCAACAACAAATCAAGCAAAGTCCCCAGGCCGAACGTAAATTGGCAAGAAGAAAGCCCTTGCACCTCCGAGCATGAACCAAAGATACGTGGCAATGTAGAGCAGCACTGTCTGCAGATAGTCCTGGCTGGAAGTGGGTAGTTGGAACACGGGTCCTACATTGCCGCGAGGTTTTCGGCATTTTCGACAATCTATGGCCTGTTTCCGGCTTTGGGGAGGGGGGGTGGGGGGGGGGGTTAAGAACGTCATTCATATTGCATGCATGCCCAAAAAACACTGGTACTTACCGCGTTTTCGCCTCTTTGTACAACACACTGCGCAAGGATGTGGAACAAGACACGTTCTCACAAGAGTCCATGCCAATTTCGACGATGCCCAAAACACTGGTATTTACCGCGTTTTTGCCTCGTTGTACGACATACCGCGCAACAATGCGGAGCAGGACACGTTGTCACAAGCGTCCATGCCAGTTGCGACGATGCCCAAAACACTGGTATTTTCCACGTTTTCGCCTCGTTGTACAACATACTGCGCAAGGATGTGGAAGAAGAAAAGCTGTCACAAGCGTCCATGCCTTTGGCTGAAGTACGATCTCATTTTCCGGGCAGTTTTCTTCAACTCAAAACCTGCAACTTTCGGTCTAGAGTTTAGGGCTGTTTAGGGGTCCCGGGTTTAGCTTTTGCACAGCCCAGTCCGCCCGACCAGACCACCAGGGCTCCGCCCACCGGTCGACGAGATAGAACACCACCCTGGCGGTTCGGGTTTGGATGGTTCTCGCTTAGGTTTAAGCTTTTGGGCCTAGGGTCGAACGGAGAGGGCTTTTTGGGTTTAGGGTTCTAGAGATTTCCCGCTTCTGTGGTTTCAAGACTTACCAAGGTTCCTGCAAGTGGAAGCATCAATGTGTTGTGGCTGCTAAGGGCCTGCGACTTAACATGGGCCAGGGCCCTGCGACTGTGAATCCTTAACCCCAAGTTCCATCCTGATTGTTGCCACAATCCAGCAGATTTGCAGGCCAACGCCGAAGCCAATGAGGGTGGAGAGAAGGCAATCCACATCCGCACCACCCCTCCAAAGCGCAAGAAAGTCATCGATCGCTCCGGAAAAGGGGATCATACTTGTCCTGGGATCGCTTGTGAAACATTGAGAGGAATACGGGAAATCCACAACACCCTCAAACCTGAAATTCCAAACCTGAGTCCGGGCGTCATCAGTGCGTAGGCTAGAGGCAGGCCCGTTGATTCAGTGGCCAGGAGCTCCTTGCCCACGTTTAAGTTCATGAGGTAGGGTTTGGGGAATTAAGGTCAGACCGTCAGGGGTCTTCGCTCTGTTGATGCTGACTTCGATACTGTTCTCTGCCTCCCTCCCCCATGCCCCTGCCCGTCCCTGCCTCCTCGTTTCTCCCTCTCCCGAAAAGCCGGAGGCTCTGTGCTGATTTCAGGGGTGCTTCCACGGTTGCGTCATGTCAAGTCTGAACTCTTGTTTTCAACAAGCTGAATGTGACGTCTCGACTCACAAGTTCGGAGCCGTGGATCTGGTTGGGCCGCCTGAAACTTGAGTCCTTGAGCGAGAATGGTCTTCTTAATCTGCACCTCCTTCTCCTCCGAATACTAATCCTCTCCTTATGCTTACGATCATTCTTCCTGTTTCTCTTCTTCCTCCTCTTGCTCTTCGTACTCTTCGCTGCTTCGTCGTCCGGTCTCGAACTGCACTGCACCTCCATCAGGCAACCCGAGGGTCCTCGCGAAGTGGACCGCGGACGTACTCCACAAACGCCTCCTGCTGGTGAAATGACTTGAACGCCTGCACGCTTTTAATCCCTGCTCGGCATCCTCTAGGTCTAAATCTCGAGAAGCACGACCTTGTGCATCTTGCACACGCTACAGCATGCCGCATGCCTCCCCTCATCTCTGTATCCCGAACCCCACAGCTTCGCAGCCAGAAAAGCTGAGACCCTTCTGGATTTTCGGTGCGCCCAACACACCCAGGAAACGCAGTCCTTGCTGCCATACCACTCCACTATCGCCGAATGGACGAAAGCGCGGTCGAAGTCGCTCCTTGTCTGTGCCTGGCAGCTTTGTGGGCTTCATGGGGTTGATCTTGGTTGAGGCCTTTTTTTCGGCAACCCTTCCAGAACACCACAACACTACACAAAGCACTCCCCAAATCCACGCCGAAATCCCAAACAGAATCCTCCAAAACCAGATCACCTGACAACACAACCCCGCACGAAACTAAATCCGAAGCACTGCCCTTACCCCAGACCTCACACTCAACACCCCCGCCCCCCCACGCTTCCACCCATGTCTCAACCCGCCTACGAATTCAACCCTTTCAAACCCACAAAACGCAAAAGCACCCCAAACAATCTTTACAATAATCCATAGCACAACCCCTGACTACTACATTACCCGCCTTATCTGCTGTTATTTTAGCTTCTACACACCCACAACAATCAACACCGCTCTTATCGCTATGAAGTCCTCCGTTGTTCTTTTCCATTTACAGTATACAGATTCTATTTTGATATGCATAACAAGTGCTTTCATCACCTCTAACACATTATAACAACATCTAAGATAATCAGGTGATGCTCTGGTTTGTTCTATGTTCTCTATTTCTATATAGTCGCGAATGCTTCGCGATGCGCCTGCGGACGCGTCGTTCATACATTTATGACGATACAAAAATTCTATGTGTTTTTATGATTGCTGCTATTGTTACACCTTTACATGCGAAAGATTATGATTTTAAGCAGTCTAAATATTAAGTAGCACCAAGACTACAATCTTCACACATCAGAGCTGGTCCTTCGGGCAGTGGTAAGGGAATATTACTTCAATCAATGATAAGAGATGTCTTGCAAGAATATATGTTTGGTCTCCTCCTTTCAGTTGATAGTAACTGGTTGCCGATAAAAGAACACATTCAGGAAATTTTAAGGTTGATTTGGAAAAGGACAAATCCTTCTTTGATGTATGTTTGGTCTCCTCCTGTTTCAGTTGATAGTAACTGGTTGCCGATAAAAGAACACATTCAGGAAATTTTAAGGTTGATTTGGAAAAGGACAAATCCTTCTTTGATGAGTATATACCAGAAGAATTAGAGAAGGTTATAAAACAACAGAAAAAAGCCGGAACAAGAACGAACATAACAAAGATATTGCTGATGACTTCGCTAACTCATATCTTTCTCACACAACAGTCCATTGCCAAATCAGTTATATGTGCGCAGTCGTCATGTTTGGCAGGCTCCCGTTTCGCATGTTGAAGTTCTCTGACATGGGCTGGGCCGTTCAAGCGCCTTCAACTCAGGCGGTGTTGGCACTTGGGTCCACGGTCCACGCTTGAGGCAGTGTGTGCCCAGACAAGCCTTAAAACCGTAGCAGGGATCCGAGGACCTGTTCAAAATTCAGACATCCTGTTTCGGGTCATAGCCCTTGGAGTCAAGTCAGTTCGCCTTTACCCTCAAGTCTGGGCGCTAAAGGCCCTCGGCCTGTCAACGCCAAAACGCCCGCTTAGTTTAGGGGAATCTCTTGGGACTCCCTCTTTTATAGATGGACTGGTTGTGTTGATACAGGAGTGTTCGATCTGAAGGCCTTGTCCAGATCAAAATACTTCAACTCTTCCAGAAGATGGTACTTCTCGGAAATGTTCCGCCGCAAGCCATGGATGACGAAGATGTAGGGGAAGAGGCCGACGAAGTAAATCATCGTGATGACCTCTCAAGGGAGAACAAAGGCTTGGATCAACAAGGACATGGAACCTATACCTGCTAATTCGGTAACGTGGTTGGTTTTGGAGCAAAGTCTGTGGGTTGCATGTGTCAGGATTGAAGCCCCTGCCAGGGGGTTGAAGAGCGCGAATGCGCCGGTCACCACAAACACATTGAAGAGCACGCAGGCGAAGAAGGTGCCAAAGATAAGAAGCGCCTCACGGCAATAAACGTTGGTCTTGGGGACAGGTTCGGAAAGACCACACGCACTTACACACAGCAACCCCAGCAACAACAGCCCACCATTCCCCTTCCCCACCCCCCTCCCTCCCAACATCCCAAACCCATAGCGCAATGCCCTGGAAATTCAAGCCAGACAAGCCCTAAACCGCTGGAACTCCAAGCAACCCACACCCCAGCCGCCAGGCCCCCACAACACAAAGAGAGAGAGAGAGAGGAAGCGCGATAAGCAAGAGAGAGAGAGGGAGAGAGAGCGAGAGCGAGAGCGAGAGCGAGAGCGAGAGAGAGAGACAGAGACAGAGAGAGAGAGAGAGAGAGAGAGACAGAGCGAGAGAGAGAGAGCGAGAGAGAGCGCGAGAGAGAGAGGGAGAGGGTGAGGAAATAGAGAGAAAAATTGGCGAAATCCAGGGATTGATACCAAGAGTAGCATCAAGAGCAAACATGTTGGACAGACATGGCCAGCAACCAGAGAGGAGAAGCAGCGGCAGGGAAGCAGACCGGAACGGTGAGGCAGTCACAGACGAAGACAGGGCAGAGACTCGGGGAAAGGGCTTCCTCCATTTCCGGCAACGGGAAGGGTGCCGTTGGAAGGGTGCCGTTGCGGTGGTTGTGGAGGACCAAGGCCCGAAAAAAAAGGTTACGTACCAAAACAACCACTGGCTGAGCCCTCAATATATTTGGGCCGCGCCGACCATGTCCCTCTCCACGAACAGAGGGGCCAGCGTGATCCGGCCTTCAAGGAAGGTTACGGTTCAGGGTTAAGTTTTAGGGTGCTCTCTCAAGCCAAGAAAACAACAGGCTCAAACGCAGGGGCCTGCTTGGGCAAGAGATTGACTTATGAGCCCCATGACTATGATGTCACTGTAAAATCTTCAACTGTTCTCTCAGATCTTCCAGCATCGTCCGACCTGATGGGTTTGCAAAGCGGTAGGCCGCAAGCTCGAAGACACACCACCTGAGCGCTGTTGTTGTTGTTGTTGTTGGAAACGATCTCGTAACGGTCCGCAGGCTTTTCCTTCCTTGCCGTGTCGAAAACACTGGCAGGCGTGGTAAACTTCAGCATGCTGGGCCTGGGGGGGGGGGGGTCTGCAAGGCCTGTTTTACAAAACGTGATTTTGTGGCTTTTTGCGGAAAAGGGTCACCGAAGCAGTTTTTGCCACAAAAAGTGCTTTTTTACTTGGGTTTTTGACATGTGACAAGTGCGCGCGAATGGCCAGAGCATCCATGTCCGCACGATCAGAACGTCTGTGTTACGAGTGCATGCGAATGGCCAGAGCATCCATGTCCGCACGATGAGAACGTACATGTTACCAGTGCGTGCGAATAGCCAGAGCGTCCGCACTATGAGAACGTCCGTGTTACCAGTGCGTGCGAAAGGCCAGCGCGTCCATGTCCGCACGATGAGAACGTCCGTGTTACCAGCGCGTGCGAATGGCCAGAGCATCCATGTCCGCACGATGAGAACGTGCGTGTTGCCAGTGCGCGCAAATGGCGAGAGCATCCATGACCATCCATGTCCGCACGATGAGAACGTCCGTGTTACCAGTGCGTGCGAATGGCCAGAGCATCCATGCCCGCACGATGAGAACGTCCGTGTTACCAGTGCGTGCGAATGGCCAGAGCATCCATGTCCGCACGATGAGAACGTCCGTGTTACCAGTGCGTGCGAATGGCCAGAGCATCCATGTCCGCACGATGAGAACGTCGGTGTTGCCAGTGTATCCTATCCATTGGCTTGGGTAATCAACAACCGGCAAAATGCCCAAAAGTGTACACGTAGCTTTTGGACCTCAAACCTAAAAAAACAAATTTCTGCATGTGGTGTCAACATACCCACGCGAAAACCCAATTTGGACCAAAAATCTACGTCCAAAAAGCACCCGATAAACCTCCGCGCGCGCGTGCGAAAACCTCTTATTTTCAGAAGCTGAAATTTTCGACTGCAAAAAGATACTTTTCCGACGCCTTAAGACGAAAAACCCAAGCAAAAACACGTTTTTGCACAAAAAAGTACAAAACAGAACAGTCGCGTTTTACCAAAAGGGGTCTGTGACACCCCCCCCCCCAGACCCCGCGTGCTGAAGTTTGCCACGCCTGCCAGTGTTTTCGATATGTCGCAAAAAGAAAATCATGCAGACAGTTACGAGATCGCGACCTTGTTGTTGTTGTTGTTGTTGTTGTTGTTGTTGTTGTTGCTGCTGCTGTTGTTGTTGTTGTTGTTGTTGTTGTTGTTGTTGTTGTTGTTGTTGTTGTTGTTGTTGTTGTTGTTGTTGTTGTTGTTGTTGTTGTTGTTGTTGTTGTTGTTGTTGTTGTTGTTGTTGTTGTTGTTGTTGTTGTTGTTGTTGTTGTTGTTGTTGTTGTTGTTGTTGTTGTTGTTGTTGTTGTTGTTGTTGTTGTTGTTGTTGTTGTTGTTGTTGTTGTTGTTGTTGTTGTTGTTGTTGTTGTTGTTGTTGTTGTTGTTGTTGTTGTTGTTGTTGTTGTTGTTGTTGTTGTTGAAGCACTACCAGCTCAAGCCGCCCGCGCATGGTAGCTGTCGAACCGGCCAAGGCCCCGAACTTCATCTCATTAACAGTTTTCGGGGCCCTCTAACATCTCAAGGCTTTCTAGCTCTTGCCAGCTGATGGTCACTTTGAGGCATTAGCCTCTAGCATTTGAGATTCCGCTGCAGACAGCATAACCACGAGCTGGCCCGGTCCCAATTCCGGGGGGAGAAATAGGATCGTCTTAGACTGCATCCATCACTCCTAAGTGTGAGGGTTCTCGTCTTTCCGCAGGACGAGGGGAGTCTGATCGTGCCTCGGCACTTCAGGCAAAACAAGCGGATGGCAGAGGGGATAATTTTGAGGCTTTTACAATGGATGACGGGTTTTTCTATGCGCTGGTTCACAAAGCAGAGCAATGGTGTTCTTAGTTCATGCAGGTCTTGCCGCGGCTTGGCAACAATCAACAGTGTTTTATTTCAGTGGCATGTCTACAGATGCTGTCCGACGAAGCGGTCCTACTAGCGGGAGCCTCGAGCCCCAGCCAAGTTGACGGAGACAAGCCTGAGTCCCTGCTGCGCTAGCGGCAGATCTCTATACGGCCCTTCATCATTGCCTCTGGTACTCGGAAGCTGAAGTCGGACGGCGCTGGCCAATGCGTATTTGCAAATCTGGTATTGTTCACAGTTCAGGCGAGAAAGTCTTCTGCTGTTTCATCACCAGCTTTGAGGATGCCGCGCAGCAGCTTCTAGTTTGAGGGGAAGCCATTTACCCAACGTTTCTCAATGTATTCTACTCCAAGCCTTCAGTACCAGGACGTGTTAAGCGGCTTCTCAGTAATAAACGGCTTCTCAGTGGTAAACGGCTTCTCAGTGGTGTCCTAAAGAAACACATGTTTTCGTTTCAGGATTTTTTGGTCCATGTGCGGTCTCGATTTGTTGTGTCACGTGCGTGCGCGGGGCCTGCTGAAGCGTTCGCTGCAATTCGGGTCTGGGGTCCTCGATTTCTATGGACATATTATATATATATATGTATATATATATATATATATATATATATATATATACAGCGATTTGGGGATCGATGGCAAGAGTCTTTATTTATATATATATATATATGTATATGCGCGGGGAATTATTATATATTGCTGTACGTGGAGCTGAGATTTTTCCAGGCTGGGTTGCGATCGGGTGGGGTCCCTGTATAGAACCCTAATTTAATTGTACAATGCATGCATGTAGCTGTATATAGAAGATGTCGCTGCCGGATCGACGGAGCTATCCACATCACACATACGCAGTGACAAACACACATGCGCGCGGTTCGGTCAATCTGTAGTTATATAAACGAGGACGTGATTGCGTGCAGGTCGCGCTATATGAAGCCATCGAAGCTTCTATAGAGGCTGCAGCACAAGGCCACCCATCCCCGCGCGGTTCCGCGATCTGGTACGTCGACAACGAGGATGAGATTTTTGGGATGAAGATCCCCGCCATATGCTATATCTGGCCAGTTTCGGGCATACCGCATGGCAAACATGCATGACATGGGTGCCGGCATCTGCTCGATCGAAGGATGACGACTATAAAAATATTTAATACCTTGTATATACCTGATCGATCCCTCGAAATGCTATGTACATTTCCTATATTGCGAGTCCTGGCAGTGTAAATATCCCCAAAGATCGATCGGACGCGATCATGTGCATGTACGTTGTTCATGTCGCAGACGCGTGAGCACGGATTGATTGATCGCGGTACACTAGCTGTAGAGCTCTATAGCGTCGGCGCGTGCATGGCTATTTGCGAGCTGCCTGGCGCAAGCATGCATGATTCGGCATTGCATCCATGCGCTGTCTTGTAAAAACGCATGACCGCGTGCATGGTATATAGCGATTGTAGCTCTAGAGCAATTCATTGATCGACCTTTTGCGCGCGAGGCTCCGGGTTATATGGTTCCGCTTGCTTCGCTATAAGATTGTGTGATATAGAGACTCTTCTCGGAGCGTTGCCTGGCTCTAGAATGCTCGACGGGCCTTCTTGTATGTAGGGGTTCTGCCTTCTATATTTGGTTGCGCTAAAGGCTTTGGGGGGTGGGGGGGGGGGGGGGGGGGGGGGTCGGAGCACATAATCTGCATTTTCGGATCCCTTGGGTTGCATGCGGTTGGGCCTTGAGGTTTTTCGGTTGCAAGTGCCTTGCGCGGACAGGCTCTGCGATCATGCAACATTGTGCCTTTCCAAAATATGTAGCTTTCGGTTGCCATGTTCTTGTTCTGCTAGTCTATAGGTGCTTTCGTGACCTACGTACGGGTACATGCAAGTGCCTTTATAGGATTTGGGGTTTAGGCTTTTTTGTTTAGGCCCGGCTCTATAAAGATCTGCTTGGCTAGGCAGCGAATTAATACTATGCTGCCTTTGTGGGCGTCGGTTGTTCGATCCTTGCCAGGATATAGGATTTACACCTTGGGTATACGTTGATCTATTACAGATGCAATTGAATTGGGTTCTGTCTGTATGATAACTTGTGCCTGCAGTGCAGTTGTGGCTGTAGTCCGGCTATAGGATCTGGCTTCCAGGTTTTCAAGAAAATTGACAGGACGTGTGCTGGCAGGCTGCCGTGTTATAGGGTTGTGGGTTTGGGGTTTAGGTTTAGGGTTTTGGAGTTTTCGAGTTTTGGGTTTAGGGCAGTGCTGGACTGCTGTTATAGGTTGAGAGTTTAGGGTTTAGGATTTAGGGGTTTTGGGTTTTAGGCAGGGCTGGATTATAAGGATGAGATCGAGGGTTTAGGATTTAGGGCTTTTGGGGTTGTGGCTTTAGGGCAGTGCTGGATGTCTGCTGGATGAGGACTGCAATTTTGTTAACTTTCCCCCGCCGTTATAACCAAGTCGGTTCGAGGGAGCGGCTGCCAGATGACTGATGCATGTGGTATATCTACGTGTGTAGGAACTCGCTTCCGTAGGGCGGGCGCATGAGCCTGCAAATCTGGAGGCCACATTTGCGTAGCCGCTCCGAGCTGATAGCGCAGCGCCTACTTGACTCCTGTGTATCGTCAGAGGAGGATCAGAACCGAATAGCATCAACA